TAGTATATGACTTTTTTTGACAATTTTATGAGATAAAATACTATGATGTTTTTTGACAATTTTATGAGATAATATACTATGTTTTTTGACAATTTTATGCCTTACTATACTATGACGTTTTTTTACGATTTTATGCTATACTTAATATGACATTTTTTGACAATTTTATGCCTTACTATACTATGAAGTTTTATGCCATACTATACTATGACGTTTTTTGACAATTTTATGAGATAATATACTATGATGTTTTTTGACAATTTTTTGCCATACTATACTATGATGTTTTATGACGATTTTATGCTATACTTAATATGACGTTTTTTGACAATTTTATGCCTTACTATACTATAACGTTTTTTGACGATTTTATGCCTTACTATACTATGACGTTTGACAATTTTATGCCTTAATATACTATGACGTTTTATGCCATACTATCCTGTTTTTTGACAATTTTATGCCATACTATACTATGATGTTTTTTGACGTTTCATGCCATAGTATATGATGACTTTTTTTGACAATTTTATGCCATACCATACTATGACGTTTTTTTGTCGTTTTATACTATAACATTTTCAATGCCTTACTCTACCATGCCGTTTTTTTTGGCCTTACTATACTATGACTTTTTATGCCTTGCTGTTAAGTTTTTGTCAGAACTGATGTTGAACCCCAGAGCATGACAGGACAGAAAACACACCAGCAATAACATTGCAAGGGCGTTTACGGGGGAAAAGGCAATAGTGATGGTGAATGTAGAAGGGGAGTGGGTCCGGGAAATCCAGGTGTCTGGTGAGTACACAAGGCAGGAGTATGGAGGACACTGGAGACCAGAGGCAGGTGGGTGGTGCAGCGTGACGTCAGTGGAAAGTGGCAGGATCAGCAGCGCACAAATCAGGAAGTCTTCTTGAGCAAAGGAGAACAAAGAGTTAATGCAGGCAAAAACACCGGGGAGATGACAGAACCACTAGACAACTCTGTAGTAACGTTTTTATGCCTTACTATTATAGTGTGACTTTTATGTCTCACTAAATTATGATTTTTTTATGACTAACTATACTATGAGATCTAGAATTGAGATCCACAAACAATTTTTTTGTTTCACAATTGAATGTATCCAGAAATACATTTTATCTTTGCAAGATATTGTTGTGAATTCGCAAATGCATTTTTTGTATTTGTGGAAGGTGTTCTATTTTTACAGTTTACACATTTACGCAGGGATTGTCGATCTGTTCATTGAAATAAATCTACCTCCATACTCTTTGTACAGATGGAGGGGTGATAGCTGGTGCTGTCATCGCAGCCATCGTGATTTTCACCTTGATAGGCGGACTGCTGTACTACGTCTTCAGCGTCCGGGGTTATAAACTGAGCGCCTTGAGCCTGCCAACAAGAACAACCAGTAACATCGATGTGGTATGTTATTGACTAGCCTTTTACGGTCTGTCACGGAAACATGGTGCAGTTTTTATGGGAGTCTAAATGCTAAGTGGTGTCATTCTTTTATTGCAGCCTGCCTTCACCAACCCCAACTTTGGAGGAGAATCGGAGACATAAATCATCATTCAAGTTTTGTACAGTACATCTTTCTTTTTCTTTTTTTTTTAAACAAATCAACAATAATGTAGTTAAAAGATTAAGCAGTTGTATATATTGTAATACACCAATAACAATGGTGTATTAAACAAGAAAACTTCATTTTCATGTCTTGCACTTACATTTGAAGTTTTTTTTTATTTTTACAGCAATAATTGTGAAACATGTCCAGAGTAATTCAGAAACGTTGTACATGTAAATCTTTATATGTGCTATATAAAAACTTTTACCATCAAATATGAAATTGTGTAATTTTGGGGTTTTTGAGAAAAATCAAAGTAAATGACAAATGAAATAATTTCCAGTGTTTATTCATCTGTGTACACTGCAACACAAATTCTTTACATATTTCACAAAAAGGAAAAAAAGCATCCTTCAAAAACCTTTCTGAACATTTTTCCAGTAATTAATTATTCGGACAAGAAGTGTAAACTTGTTTTAGAGTAATTCATAAACGAAGCACCAACACCCGTTGATAATGAAAATAAAGCCACAGGTTGGAAAGACAAAGACCCAGAAACATCAAAAAAATAAACAGATGAAATCACATTATTAAGTGTGTCAAATGCCGAATTGTGTGTTTTCACTTTGTGTGCAGTGTAGACATCCATGGATAAGATCAATACAATAGCAGCCTGCTGACGATCTGTACGTAAAAATAAACCCTAATTCCATGGCACCAGTATACTCCTCACTTAAAAAATATCACTTTATCGTTTATATGAGAAAATAAATTGAGGAACACTTTGTGGTCCTTGTTCAGCCCTTTTAGCGTGAAATTGCACGGACACACCAACTGAATTAACAAGCGAAAAAAATCTCACAACCCAATGGCACTCGTTCCAAAAGAAGCGCTAATCTAAACCAATGTTTCTTTTCTCAAATCACTGTCATACTGATTATTTTTGTATCCCCCAGTGTATCAATAACACCCTGTGATAACTACGTCAACAACTCACTTAAATTTTGAGCCAACAAAACTCATGCTTTATTGCTTAGAATCAAAAACGATGAACACAAGGAAAGACTAGCACAGTCCTGCCGGTCTGATGTACAACAGCGCACTGAAATTAACTACAAATACTCTTTTTAATAAGCTACAGTTGGCCATTTATTCTACTCCCACAGGTTTAGGAAACATTTACAAATCAACTAAAACTTGGGGAACATGTAGGAAAGCAGCTTACTGGTGCAAAAACAAATAAAAGGGAACACTACTGTAGTTTCAGTTAAATGATTGTGGTCGTCCCACTATACTCGAAAGGTAACTCAAACTGACAAATGTGAACAACTCAAGCCATCACAATACATACGGAAAGTCAGGGATGCAAAATTATTCCCTCTTTTTTTATTCTTGCAAGACACATTTGTGGTTAAAAGGACAGCAATGATTTTTTTTAAATTCTATCTTAATAGCCCATATGTACTTTGAGAGGGTTAGTGGTCGCTGTAAAATCATTCCTTCTGTGCACACTGACTGCAAAGAGAAGCCTTCCTAAAGCAATTTTAATGTGAGATGTGATGGGGAGACAAAATCCAGTCCTGTTTCTGTGTGAAAAAGAATTTTCAAGTTGAGCTGACACTAATATAAAAGGTTCAGCAGTCAAAGTTAGACAAATCAGGTGTACACTTTGAAAATTAACCTTTTTTAATTTTTCCTTTTAATGTTTTTAAACAGGATAAGTAGTAAGTAAGTATAAATATTTTTGGTACTAATATGGCTCTGACTATAGAAAATACCCTCCTTGGTTTGATGAACTCAAACTGTTTAAGTCTCATTATCGCTTTGCCTGGAGATTGACTTTGTCCCCCATCACCTACACCGCTTTAAAATGGGATCTGTTCGCAGCCAGTATGGACACGAGGGATGATGTTTTAAGACGAACATGAGAGAAAAAAAAAAAAAAACGTGAACCTATCCTTTAAGATGGACGCTTGTATAATTTTCATTGGGAGGAGGGCACAAGAAACAAGCTGTTGAGAATGAAATCAAGTCAGCTTCGGACAGAATGTAGACACTGTTAGTCACTACCAGCAACAGTACTACAGCCAGAAAAAGTCTGCGACCCTGAGCTGCAGCCGTCAACCATAACACCAAAACCATTTCACATAAGAAACACGAGTCACCGGTCTGTCACGTCTCAGAAATGTCCTACCATCAGTCACTCCGACACGAACAAACAAGAGTCAAGAAACAAACTTAACTTCTTCCAGGAGCAGAAAGGTAAGGCCTAAAAAACAAACGGTCATTAAATGTCCTACATAAAAAAAAGCCTTCCCTGCTCTGCCATCTCATTATTCATATGTTGAATTTGATTTCAATATGACCTGATTCATCTTGTCTCAATAATCTATACATAATTCAACCTACATACAATATGTATCTTGTCTTGGAAGAACAGATTAACACATTTTTTGTTTATTCTTATTCATAATGCACTTCATTATTGCACACGAACTGTGAAAGATGCAATGGGCTAAAATAAATAACTTGAATGCTGATTTAACATTACACTCTGGTGCTTCTGCAACACACTTCAGCAGTTTTTGGCTGCAATACTTTGCCCATATTTGACATATCTCTACTTCCTACACGGTCGAGATTCGACCATGTCACCATTATTACATTATTCTCATGGGTTATGCTGTGGGAGAAAGAAATGCTGACTTTAAAAATCATAGAATCCCTGAATCCAAATCAAACCAATCTTTCAGACTGAAACAGGGAAACTTAAATCTCTTTTTAAGAGAAATGAAATAAAAAAAACTGTGAAGTGATAAGTCTAAAAATGATACTTTTCAACAATGATTTAAGTGCCTTTAGTTTTTCAGGTAATTTCCTCCATGTCCTGTGATTACTGCCTGATCAAAGTCAAATGTATGGTAACAAAGATGTGATAATAAGAATAATAAGATCTGTGTCAGTGCTTGCACCAACCCCCACCTCCTCCACCACCACCACCCAATGGCACTTTTGGTTATATCTGATGTACCTCCATCCAAATTCAGTTAAGGTCACTATTAAAGCCCTGATTTGCAAATAATTCCATGACATCAGCTGATAGAGGAACAATGAGAAACGTTAAACCTGGACATGAAACATGCATTTTACACCAGATGGAGCCTATGTGTTTTTTACAGTGCCAGAGAGAGTGGGTGGGGTGGGGTGGGGGGGGGGGGGGGAGTGAGAGAGAGAGAGAGAGAGAGAGAGAGAGAGAGAGAGAGACACCAAAGTGAAAATGAGAGAAAAGTACAAATAACAAGTGCAATAATCAGTATCGTATCCAAATCTAACCTTAAAAACAAACATGAGATGACATCTGTGTCTGCCTTTTTGAAGAGATGTCCATGTGAAAAAAAAAAAGAAAAAAAGACACATGCCTGAGGGACAGTTCAGGTTGGTATCACGCTGATGTGAAGTAAAGGCAGGGAGAAGCAGCACGATTGTTTTGCAGGCGTCCAGTACTGGGAGCAGGTTGTTGGTCACTTTACCTTTTGGCTGTCCAGCCTCAGCCAGTAGACACCTTGTCTTGTATAACGGACCATAGAGCTCATAGTTGAAGTTAGGCTCAGTGGGCCCATGAGTGTGTCCAGTTCTGTCAGCATACCTAAAACACATGAGAAACATTCATAAAACATAAATATGAAAATAAGATTTTTCCCTGAGGATTGATAAAATATTGATAACAGTCATCAGCAATTTCTATACAGTGTCTTTAAACTCATCTCTGAAAGGATCTATTTCAGTTATGTATCCTTTCATCTCAAGCTTTAACTATAATAACTGCATGGGAACATGAGCTAACTTTCACTTTTAGCTACTCCAATCAAATGTCAGTGGATACATTTTTATTAAATCTGGGGTCCTATTTTGAGAAACCTGAAACTGTTGCTTCTGTTTCTGTTTCGTTTTTCTTATCTTTAATTTATCTATTTGTTTACTTTCATTTATTATTTTATTACTCTTTAAAATATCTTTTATTCTATGTATTTTTCAATTTGTATGCACTATTTTCTTGGCTTATCATTTATGGGTCATTATGTGTGAGATAAGTTTTATTTGATGTCACTCACTGTGACTGGATTAACAGGAACGTAACTCTTGTGAAGTGTTTATTTGTGCTGTTCTTCACTGATATTCAATGAAAAAAAAAAAAGAACTTGAATACAGTCGACCATTAAATCCATTTAGACAAACAATTTTTAACATCGCTGGACTCATTTACATTTCTGGCTTAAATTTAAATACACCTTAGTAATTTGGAGGGTCACAGAGCATTTGTAAAAAACAAAAAAAACAAACAAAAAACAAACAAAAAAACATCCATTTTAAAGCTGTGTCACTGCAAATATCAAGGGGCTTTTTGAGATTCATGTAGGTGTCGTCTCAACATTCTGACAAAACACTAACACTAATTCAGTTTAAAAAATTCGGTCACATTATAGTACGATATATACATGCAACACTTGTCTCCACTTACCACTGCCTTTGTGTGCCAGCACCTCTGCCTGCTCCCAGATGTCATGAGCGCTCAGGAATAACGTGGTGATGTTGACGTAGTTGAATGCCACTTGTTCAATGGCCTGGGGAACTGCCACAGTGCTGCCGACGGGGCCCGCAACCGACCCGCTACTACTGTGGTTGGAGCCAGGACCTGAGCTGGTGGATGTGTTGGCTGGAGACGGCATGTCGGGCATTGGGGACGGGGTGCCAGCAACTCTAAGGGAGAGGGAGGCAGGGAGGGGGAGAGGTACAGAAAAGAAGGGCGTGTTAAAGAGAAAGATCAGATGTGGACTTTGTATGTATTATAACTATAACCATGATATCTTATTGGACTACACTTATTGGATGTAACATGGAAACTACATGACTTACTTTGATGTGCAGAAAGAAGGATCGTGCGACGCCTGAGCAGAGTTCTGAGACGGAAATTCAATTGGAAAAACAAAATATTAATTGGTACTTTTTTTACCTCAGTATAACTACACTGGCAATTAGGAATTGTGGTAACATCTTACTACTTACACTGAAGTGATCAGTGAGGGTCTTTGAATACTTGAGTGCAGTTTTGTGTTTGTGGCGAAACATGGCCATCTGCAGGAGAGACTGGCACTTCAAACTGCGAGACACAATTCAATGTTATTAATGATTCACAATTCAAATGATTCATTACAGAATACTAAGAACAAACTAATGAACACTGTCTCATTAAGTCATGATCATATTTTTTGTTTGTAAAGCTAACCCTAACCCCAAACCATGTATATTAATATTAAATTCATTTTCAGTATCTACACTACTCATTGAAGCATTGGCACATGAGCAAAGCCAAAAAGCCATCTGGACAACAATTAAATGCAAACGAATTACAAATATTCTCCAATTACAACATTTTAAAAGTAGATGTTCAACAGCAGTAATGATTTATTATGAACTTGAAGTTTGAAGTTTGGGATTTCCTGCATGTGCTCAGTTTGTGTTTTGTGTCAAGTTTAACTCATCATGAATCGATTGGATTAGCATGATCAGTAATGGACATTAAAATACATTCTTTATACTGCCCATCTAAAGAAGTGCTACACAGACGGTGTCAAATACTAAGTGGCAGATTTAACTGGCACATAAAACGATTTAGTGCTGTTGTTTTTAATGTTTTAGCAACTTTTCAATATACTGCAATATAATTCAACAGCACCGCATCCTGCAGCTTCAACAATGAGTTTCCACATAGATAGAAACAGCACATAAAGCATCATCTACACCTTACCATAAAGCTAAAAAGTCCTTTTCTGAGGGTGGAGCAGAGGGGTCCACCGAGTTTTTAAGTTTCAGCACAAACCTGTGAAACATGAAGCCAAAACCTTCATGTTAGAGGCTGAAATTTCACTTAGATATAGAAAAGAAAAAGAAGAAATAAAAACAGATCATGTATGATGAAAGTGGGTTCTTACTTGAGGAGTTCCACTGTCTCTGCAAACATAGTGTAGGAAGACATTGAAACCTGGGGATCTTTTTCCATGGCAATGCCGCTCTCGACGAAGAACATGGCCGCATCCAGGTAGTTGAAAGCTTTACTGAGCTTATCTGACTGCAGAGAGAGAGCAACAGACAAATACAGCTTGGTTATTATTTACTGGAAGTGCTGTTTAGACTGCAGTATATGTTAGAACATGAATTCAAAACAAACAAACAACACAAAAAGTCCTACCTCTGCATCTGCTTTGTGCTTCAGTCTTTTGGCCTCCTTTATGTAATGCTTCACTGGATACTTCCTGCAGGTGAAAGAAGCAACATACAACTAACAATTCATAATACTATTTAACTTTCTGTAAATAAGTGATCTGCTCTAAAATGGATAAAAATCAGAAATATTACTTTCACTTACTGAATCATCTGAGCAGTTATTTCCTGAAAAGCATCTGATTTTTTTTGTGGCCAAAGCGACTAAAGTCGGAGCTTTAATAATCTCCAAGAACATGAGTTTATCCAAGATCAGACCGTCTCCTGATGACAATCAGAAACTAAACCAGTACACTACAATTTTTAAATGTTACCATTCAATCTCACTGCACTTTTCACAGTCTCCCCACTCCCTACAAATTGCATTTCACTGATTATATTGATGGGTCCAAATGCTATCACAATTTAGAGGTACAGCCAAAGAGAGATGAGCCAGGTGCTATACAGGAGATAAAGGGAAAACTTGGCTCATATTCATTGAGCATTTCATTGTGAAAACATTTAAAATGATTAGTATGGTGCTTGCTGTGGCTTTTCAGGACACCAGGTTAGCTGTGCTCCTTACATGTTGGGAGTTTCCATTACGTAGCTGGCACCAGCTATCACCAAAATGTATCATCAAAGGTTTTGGTACACAGCTAAAACCAACTCTGTCTTCTACAAATCTGTGGTTAAGATCTCAGGACTGTCTTTGTTTTGAGGATTTTCTTTCCTCGTAGGAAAACAGACAAAACCAGGTGAAGTCTGGGAAAAGAGGAAGTATTGCACTTTGTGAAGAGCACAAAGCAAAAGCTTTCCAGAAAGTCTTACCTGTCCTCCAAACTGAGCAAGGGCCTGTTGATCAAAACTTCCTTGTTGGACTGTGAAAATGATGGGACGGTGAGGCTGCTCTTTGAAGACTTCTGCTAGGATTGTAGATGCAGAAAAAAATTTGAATGTTTTCCCTTTTCATGTAATAACTTCCCTGAAGAAGTTAATTAGCCTCTTCTCTGGCAGCAACCAAGTTTGTCTAGGGAAATGACATAACTTAATATTCATAATGAAGGTGCCTAAGTCTCGACAGTTACCTTTTCCGAGTGTGGGTGCTCTGTGTGTTTTATACTCCTCTTCTTGTGCTTGCAGGCCTCCTTGCTCTTTCCAGCCTCCTTACTGGACTCCTGGGTCTCCACAGAACAGCGTTTGTGTAACTTTGAGTCTTTAACAGAGTCTTTGGGTGTTGCAGGCTGCTGCAAAGATACAGGATTTTTTTTGGCCTTCTTTCTCTCCCGGTCCTCTGCTGGATTGCTGGAACTTCTGTAGACAAGATTGATAAGATCTGACTGAGCTGATTCACAAATGGCCACAATAAAAAGGACATTTAATTCTAATAAGGGTAATGTTACCCCCAGTCAAAACAATACTCTGATTTAGGAAACCTACTCGAGTTTGATAGAATCGTGGGCTGACGAGGTATTCTTGTTTTCCAGCTTCTGTTTCTTCCTCGGGAGAGTTTTATTGTCTACCTCATCCTAGAAGACAACAAATCACACATTATAATAAAAACAGGACTTTGATTATGTAAACATGTGCTGACTAGAACAACCCTTGACCCTCAGATTTCTTACATTTGGAGGTATGCTCTTTTTGCTGGTTTTTCTGTGTTTGTGTGTTGTAGATGCATCACTGCCTCCTCCCTCTTGCTCTATAACCAGCGCTGGTCTTTTTGCATTGCTGGGTATGTCCTGGTTCTTGCCGGACGTCTGTGGGACTCTTGACAGCAGACTTAGTTCGATCTTCACCAGGAGGGATCTAGGAGGCCTGTGGAGGTCCCGAGAACCCTTGGCTGAATGTCGAGTCTTCTCTGAGTGCTTGTGGCTCGTTTTGTTAGGCTTCTTGGCGCCCTTCTGGCAGGTGCTCTCTGCCTTGGGTTTGCTACAACTGATTCTTACTGGTGGGACAGGAGACAACTGTTCAGGCTGAGCAGGACTCTGGGTGGGGCAGGAACAGGGGTTAGGATATCTCACACCACAAGTTGGACAATGACCATACAGGACAAGTGCAACCTCAGGCTGTGATCCAGTCTTCCGCTTGTCGAGAGACGTGTGTTTAGTCCTTTTATCGTCTTGTTTAGAGTCACTGCTGACCTTGCTTTTTTTGCAATGTCTTGTTTTCGTCTTTACCTTGGGCCTATCTGTGAAAGACGAGTCTTTGTCTCTTGTGGCTACAACTTCCTCACACTTAACACTTACAGCTGCTTCACTTTGATCTGGGCGACTTTCCTTTGCTGGTTTTGAGGAGTGCGTGTTGCACGACAGTTTCCTGAAATCAGCGGAAGGCGATTTTTGGCTACTCTGCTGGTAACAGTTCTCCTGATGGCTTTCTCTGCACTGCTGGGGTTTGGCAAGGTTGTTACCGAGCTGTTTTTGGTGAGAAGAGAGCTGAGGCTTGGACTCCCTAGTGGGGTCGACCACCTCTACACTGGAGTGCTTGGAGCTTTGAGTGGGCAGGAACTGTTTGTGAGTGGGGCTCCCGGAGACGTGAGTACCGCCTTGACTTTCAGTGCTCGAGTTCTGTTGGTTGGACCTGATCCAGTTCCCCAACTGCCAATCACCGTGGCTCACTGCTAGAGTTTCAGGCTACAAAAAGACACAAACATTGCGATTCAAAGAAATTAAACAACTCAGAAAATGTGAGTTCATGACTCCTTTACTCAATATGTATAGATACACAAAGGGGACAAATTACCTCAGTTTTAACTGAGCTGCTCGCTGGGGGTTCAGGCGGCTCCTCTGTGGCGCTTTCACTGTCCGACTCTGATCTTGAGCTACTCTCTGAATCGCTGGAGCTGGCAGACTCTACCCCGCTGGAATGTGCTGCTTTTCAAAGAAACTACAGTGCACACACACACACACACACACACACACACACACACACACACACACACACACACACACACACACACACACACACACAATGCTACTTTAAAATGTGAACTTGTTTAATTCACAGCAACTGCAAGATTGAAAAAGTATAATCTATATCAGCACTGTCATGTCAGAAGCCAGCTTGATTAAACTGCACCAAAGCTACAAGTATGCAACAGTCTCTCAAGTTCAGTAACTTTGAGTTCAGTTGCATATCTTCTGTCATGTTTTGAAATGACAGCAAAAAAAAAAGTCCTTTAGAGGAGCCAAGTCACTTACGTTGAGGAGCTCTGTTGGTTGAGCTGGGATGGATCTGTAGGAGGAGGAGGAGGGGGAGGAGGAAGAGGAAGAGGAGGAGAGGGGTCATAGCTTTCTGGAAAGACATAAACAAACAAACAAAAAGAAAGAAACAATGTAAGTGCATGTCACTCAACACAACACACACAAAAAAACAACTACCTAACTCAAAAGCGATGCTTCCTAATAGATTTATAAAGCACATGTTTTACTTGAACTAGTAGATGCAGTTTAGTCTATTTCACTATAAGATCTAACATATCACCGTTGATAAAAAAAAAAAAAAAAAAATCTCCAGGATCAAAGATTATACAACTGTCGTTGCACCTTATTCAGTTACTAAAGTCTTGATATCAGGTTTCCCACATTATTCAAACCAAGGTCAGACTGCTGCTTCATTGCCACAGGTAGAACACAGTAACCTGCTGCTAAAATGTTTTGTTAGCATTTCTTAAACTCCAGACCCTAAATTCCACATTTGTTGCAGACAGTATCAGTATCAGTATCAGTATCAGTATCAGCACTGACTGACCTGAGTTTGGCTTTTAAAGCTCATGTCTTAAATTGTCACATTTACACTTATGGTGGCCAATAAATTAAAATAAACAAAACATGAAAATGATATGATTATGCACCATTTTTCTGGTCTCTGAGTATTTACTGTCTAAGCAGCTGAGTGACTAATACCAGCAGTCCTGGCTTATTTTCTAATGCCAGAAGCACTTAAAGGAGCTATTTGTACGTTTTGCTATTGCTACATAGCCAACGTTAGTATTAACAGCTGTTTACTTATCAGTCCAGAAGAAACATTCAGCATCAAACTCGCCATGAGCCGACTCCAGCAGTAGAGAGCAACCCTTTTGTTTAGCCTCTATTTCATTTATATCATTTTACTTTCTTCTACTGGAGTTAGCATGCTAACCAGCTAGCCCCAGCCCAGTCAGACTGCCATCAATTTGATATCGTGTGACTGTAACATCCAGGCTGCCCTGAAGAAGCAGCGCTTCTTATAACCTCTTGTCTTGTAAACGCAATGATGGCTGAAGCTCTTGGCAGGACTAATAAGTAAATAGCTGTTAATGCTAACCTTTGCTATTCAGCAATGGCAAAACTTATAAATAACTCCTTTAAAGTCAACGGATAAATAAGATTACATGGGGGAGAAATAAACAAGTTGAAATAGAGCAAAATACACTCTTCCCCTTGGCTGAGGTTAATTTGAGATAAAATTGTAGGGTTGCTTCTCTCCTCTGGCATTTTGTGGTCAGTTCACAGAATAGGGCATACTGGTTGTACTAGTTGCCATAGAAACATTGCTTTGAAGAAGAGGAATACATAGGACTAGAGACTATTAGGACAGATGCTGCTTTAATCCCCAAATATTAAAAGTTGAAAACAGAAGAGAAGAGAAGGTGATGTTTAGGTCTAACCAAGTTTCATAGATGATGATCAAACCTCCAACTTTATCTACAGGCTGTAGATATTTCTTGATGACAGATCAATCTGCCTGCTGCCAACACCTGCACACATAACAGAGTCTAACCCTGGTTTGCATTCAGTATTAATTTACTCACTTTGTCCTGGGCAAGAAGAAACATGCTCCGCTTCCTGTGAAGACAAAAAAAAGGCCCTTTTAGTTGCGGCTTTATAACCTTATAACCTGCTGTGGCAGTAGTGAGGTGATGACAAATTTGCACTGAGGATAGTGAAGAAAAAAAGCCATGAGGTCATTCAAACCAACCCCCCTCATGAGGGTCCCCATCAAATGACATATTAATCTGCATGTGAGATTAGGAGATGTGGCTCAGTAATTTAACCTAACCTTTGTTGTGCAGCTGACAAGTTGAGTGGTGGAAAGGGTTCATCTTTGGGAAGCATGAATGTGCTCAGTATATTATCTGATAATGGGGAAGGCCACTGCACAGCTGCAGTGCTTCTAGCACGCTGGTTCTGGCACCAAAGTCTACAAGCAGCCATCAGAGAGCTTTCATCCACCACACCGCAAAAACAGACACAAAATCGGTGAGGGATTTTTCTGCTAAAGAGGCCATACTTTTGGAAAGTAATACTTTGCTTGGACTTCAATGATGCATGGCATTAGCCACATGACAATACTTTTTAGTTTAACAATCGAGACGTACTCTGTCCTCTTTTACAGTGACCTTCAACCAGTAATCTGATGAGGCAGGGCAAGTTTGGCACGGAGAGAGGATTCATGCAACTAAGAATTCTCCTCCAATGTACATGTGCGTAATGGGCATAACCAGTCAACCAGTCTCAACTTACCTTGGCTGAGAACGGGGACTTGGAGGGTTCATCTGTGCAAGGTGTGTGAATAGCCGTCAGAAGAGGGGGCCATGAGTGGGTCATTTCCTGAGGAGGGGAATAAAATGAGTGTCATATGTGTTAGGAGCCAACCAGCATAGTCCAACTACAACAAAAGGTGCCACTCTATGCAACATAAACACTAGTGCATGCAGGTGCACTCTCCAGTCACACTGTCCCCCATATATATTTCAGATATAGTATGGAGCACATAATAGATCCTTTTCTTTGCAACTTGAAGACCCAGAAGCAACCAACAGCATCTCATCTCACTGTTCAAATGTAATCCACGTATTATGCATTATAATTTTAATAGTATGCAATATACATACAGGCACGACTAGCCTCGCAGAACATCAACTGGTGTGTCTGCAACTAAAGTACAATTCCTGTTTCAAATACACAACCAAATCAAGATGCACGATCTGAGGCGGTTCTGAACACATCAGTAACTGAGAATGTGGCATGACACTTGGTACTGGTCAAACTGGTTCTAGCATCTCCAAACAAATGTCATGTCTCATAAGCAAATATCTGTGAAAAAAGCAAACAACACCTGCGCTGTTAATCCTCTGGATGCAAATAGCATGTGGAAAAGAGGAGTTAGAGAAGAAAAGCCCAAATGCTTCAAAGAAAAATAAATGCTACAACCAGACATCCAACCACAGCATTGGTGGGCAGAATATCATCAGAATGCATCACGAATCAGACTCAGTGTCTTGAACGAGCTACAACAGATGAAGCCCATGTGGCGTGCTGATGTTTTGAAGAACAAGAATGATACAGGACAAAGCAGCATCAAAAAAAAAAAAAAGGACCAAAGGTGGCACGGTAAGGGGAATCCAGGTTAAGCATAATCCAGCAATAAGCATCTTGTTGAATCCATGGTCAACAGTAGACATGAAATAAACTAAACTCTGTAAGAATGAAATACAACGCTATGCCAAAGTCTACATAGCCAAATTACATAAAATAATACACCAGGCTTGGAATGATTCTGGAAATAATCAAGGAATAGAAATCTTATTTTCAAATACAACACTACTGAATATTCTTTAAGTTCATAACATCTTCAATCATTCCGCAGGACAGATCAGCAGCCCACACGCTGATCTTTGGAAACTCAGTGGAATTGTGAAAACACGCAGAAAAGCTCTGATAAAGAAAATACTGTAGAACCAGAGCAGGGGACTATTGTGAGAAAGCTAAAGAAAAGTTAGTTTATCTGCAGTTGCTCAAGCTCATAGGGTCAGCAACTAGAAATGTGTTGCTCAACAACTCAGGGTGGGGGGTGTATTTTATATCATATATCAAGATGATTAATTCAGAGCGCACCTTATTTCAAAGTTTGTGGATGTTTATTCAATCATTTTTATCTACAAGCAAACTAAATCTGTTCAGTTGGTAACTGATGTAACTTTAACAAACATTTGTATATATCAGTATGTGCAATATATAGTTATTTTTCTGTTTTCTGTTTGTGGCTACTTCTGTCAATTTCAGTTTTTTGTTGTTTACATTGTTTGATAGGTTATTTAAAAATGATATTCATAAAATTCATCATTTGTGCACTAGTAAAATTTGCATTTGCACTGCATTTAAATAGCTTTTTTGTTTTTAAATACACCACAATATGGGGCATCCATGATATAAAAATGTTTTGAAAAACATATTACCTTAAAATATAATAAGTGTACATTTAAGTGTCTTAATTTGTGCACACATGTACATGTGAATGCTACTTGGGTCAATAATCATGTATATTTGTGCAGACAACAAACACTTTTGAACTGTAATGCAAGATATAAAGAAGCCCTTGCCATAGTTACATTATTATAACAATAAAAGACAACAGTCAGCTATCAGTCAGTAAATGAAAATGTGAACAGATGGACTTACCCTCAAGATGTCCTCGACACACTGAACTTCATTTGTCCTTGTCTGTAGAAATGAAAGGAATAATTATGAGTTTCTGCAATCACAATGAAAAAACCTCTATGCAATTATAAAATGAAGACCAAACAGGAGAAAAACTTTAAAACAAACTTTTAACATTAAATTTGCCTTTCACACTCTCAGGTTTCTCACTTGTACATTGCCAACTATACCTCACTCCTTTACCGCCTTATCTATCCCTGGTAAATGGCACTGCCAGTTATATTGTAAAAGCTGTCATTTATCTTAAAACCTGCCACATGGCTACTCATCTGTAGGTATAATTTGTAGGGAGTTGAAAATGTGTATAGCACAGGAAAACCCCATATTGGCATAAGATGTTGGGACAACCTATTTTTTCTGGCAAAAGCTTTCTAATCTTTGTGTTACAGGCCTAAAAGCACTGAAACAGTCTCCGTCCAGAGCAGAGAAAAAGAATAGACCAACCTTAATAAAATGGAGTGGACAAAACATTAGAAACATCTGTCAATATATTTCAGTCCTATACTAAATCTCTATTCACTACAGCCTCAAACAAATGAGTGACGCAATGCCCCGTATCAGGCAGCAACATAGGCCGACGCCAACATCAGATAAATACTGTGTGTGAATGAGTCAACAGCCTGCATTTCAGTTTGTTTTCAGACCTCTCTTTCAGTTTTTCCTTCTGAATGGACAGTGTTTGAGATAAGGTCAGAGTGAATGGGCCCCCAGAGCAGTTATGTAAGTTGGTGACAAAGCTCATTTATTGTTTGACTGAGCCCAGGGGTGAAGGTATCAGAAGCAGCTGAGGTCACATATAAAACAAAAACCACAGGCTACTTGCCACACACCATGCTACGCACCTGAGTTAGACATGAGACTATGTGCTCAGGAATGCATGGTGGATTATTATATATGTGCAGGAAACATTTTTTTATTGAGATTAACAGTGGCCCTTAAGGGTAAAACTACAAAACTTTAAAAATGGTTTATGTATGACCCAGTGCAAATGTGGAACTTAACTCAGGAGTCGAGGCTTAGTGAGAAATAGGGGAATGAGTCACTGCCTAGCTATCCTGCACTGGATTAGTCCCAGCAGTGAAAACAGCAGCACATTCAACGCTGCTGTACTGCTGCTGCTGCTGGAGGGTAAGGGGGAGGTGTGGAGAGCTGCAGGTGCAAGGGTTGAGTGCGTGTGTGTGTGTGTGTTTGTGTGTGACAGAGAACAGATGAATAGAGTTGAACTGGAGTTCAGCCAAATTCTCCAAAACAAAGACAGTCCAAGGCCTTTTTAAACGCCTGAACAGTCAAGCAGAAACATCAAAACTACGAAGAGGTTTCAGAGAACATCCTGAGACCAGCAGACACACTATCCTCTTAGCCCATAGCACAGTCTATTCAAAGCCGAGACAAGAGTGCTGAGAAATTATCAGTGCGTCTTCCCTTGTCCTATCCTCTGCACCACAGTCACAGGAAGCACCACACAAGAGATTCACTAGTACCTGATACAACACAATCATGTACAGTATATCTCAATATGTATGTTACTGAATAGGTAAGTTTACTCCAACAACAGCTTAATAATTTTCTTCAAAAAGCAGGAATCAGTCATATAACATTAAGTACAGTAAATACTACACACTATACTTCAGGTCCAACCTTTATATTTCACAGTGCAGCAGTGTTTAAATAGTTGATTGTATCTGAAGTAAAAGCCGAAATATAACAAGAATTTACAGGTTCATAACTAAAATTAAGAAAATCGAATTCACAAAATCGCACTGACATTTGTAATAACGCTAATTATTACAAATCCAGCCCTGCAACGTAACCTTGCTCACTCACATATTGTGCATTTCACCCCAGTTGTAATCATTTTTAATTCATTTCATTTTTTGGTATTATTGTTTTTAGAAGCCTTCAAGGAACACAATTTCCCACAAGCCCATTCTGGGTTTAAAACTTTGGTTCTCTTAGCATAAAGACATTTCATTTCATTTCTGTGTCTATTTACTATTAAATACTGTTGGCTTATTTTACAATCTAGATTACATTGTTAGATAATACACGCACCTCCAAAAATTGTGGCAGTATCTTCATTTTGCCGGGGTTAGACTTGCTGATTAACTCTGGTAGTGGTACATATGGCTCTGGGGAAGGCTTAAGCTCAGGTGACTCACTGACCACCTGGTCCTGACCATCCATGGGCCGCACATAGGCTGTTGGCTTCTGGGTCATGACTACGCTGGGCTGCTTCGAGGACAGGAGTGGAGGGAAGGTCTGGGAAGGTAGTGCGTTCGTCTTGGTGGCTTGAGGCAGAGATGCATCTTTAGGGGATTGCTTAATGTTCAGTGTGGAAACATCCATGGTGCTGGAAGACTCAGAGGGGTGATCTGAGGACTCTTGAAGCTGATGTCTATCAAAGGTGTCCTTAGTGTCCGTGTCAGTGTTATCATGGTTACTGGAATGTAGGAAGGGTAGCGGCTTAGCATCAGGAGACTGAGCAGACATTTCCTGATCAAGGCTGACACGCTCCCTGAGATCTGAGAAGGCCTCACTCTTCTTCTGTTGATGTGCTGGGTGTCCGGGGTGGCCGCCCTGACTGTGGTTCAAGGAAGCCTTTGAGAAAGTGGATGAATGTCCATGTTGGTTAGGAGAAGAGGCAGCAGACGTCCTTGTGGGCTGAGAGGAGTAACTGCTACTAGAGGGGCATTTCTGGTTTTGGGTTGACATGTAATGGACCTGGTGGTGGAATGGAGCTTTGGTTGATTTATCTGTGTTTGGCTGACCCTGATCTGACTGTGAGAAGGTTACATAAGTAGGAATGGGTAAAGGCTCACTGGCGAGGGGATAGGGACTATTCACATCTTCATAACTGCCCAGCATCCTCTGGATTCGATTGGAAAGCTCATCCCCTTTGTTTGTCTACAAAAAGAAGAGGCAAACATTTAGCTGTGTTAAAAAGCTTACAAAACCTTTTCTTTTTTTTTTTCTTTTTTTTTTTTTAAAACATAATTACACTGGACCAATTTAACTCTTGGTCATAAGGAAACAAGTAACACTACACAACAGTACATTTTTAAAAAAGCACTCAAGCATCAAGCCTTCATTGATGCCATCGTCAGAAAGATTTGATCAGTGTTTGAAGTCTCTGAACAATGTTTCCCTGTTTCCCTTATCTATAAGCACCATACAGATCATAATCAAACAGACTGTCAAAAGCATATCCTCTAAATAGATATATATCAGAAGAAACCATTTTCAAAGCAAAGATGTGGGTGTTATCAAACAGTGACGTTACAAACGTTACAAACAATGACGTAATTTCCACTGAGGATGAGACTGACATGTTCCCCTCACTTTTAAAAAATCATATTCTTGGAACAGTTTCAGGTAGATTTTCTTGTGACTGTCCAGCTGCCAAAATCCAGATCAGAGAAGAGAGGATAACTATCTACTGGACTGACAATCATGAGGCTAAGGCAGCTTAAAACTACTGTACTGTAATACTGTTATGGTAACATAACAGTATTACTGTAAAAACAAGTCCAAGATGAGCTCGATTTACCTTGTACGGTTCCCCAAAGAGTGGCACATTCTCAGGGTTGAGTTCTTTGGCTTGGCTGGTTTCTTGGTTCCTCTGTTCCCACGCTTGGAGACGAAGACGGTTCCTTTCTTCATTGTATACACTGTAAGACATGACAGAGAAAGAAAGCTCTTCGACAGTCCATCATTTCCACTTTAACACCTAACACTATTACCCAGTTCCACCATCATGCTAAGACCAATGGCTGAGATTATGATACAACCTTTTCCTTACTTTGTATTTTGTATTTCTTTTAGGTTTTCTACAATTTTTAAAACTTTTAAACACCCAGAATAATGAATGTGACTCATTATGATAAAATCAGTTTTGGCTGAAGACACCAGAAAATTAAAGACTGCACTTTTATGGCATCTTTATCACAGACTTATCTACCCAAGGGGCAGAGCAGCAGTGTCCAATGGGAGAAGACAGTGCCAATCATATCTACAGACAAGTGTAATTAGACTCACAGATGCCGTGAGGATTCATCACAACATTCACATCTGTTCTCTCTAGTCCCCAAAGATGACACGCAGCCCATACAGCCATCAAATGGATAATTACGACTACTAGTCCTGATATTGTGCCAATGGCAAAAAAAATGTGTTTACTCTGGTAAATTATATTGTGGAACAACAGCTGGCCGCATGGACTCAAGTCCTGTTTAATACTTTAAATATACTAAAGTGAACTGATTACTCATCTACATTTTGAAAATTTGTGATTTCTCTCCCAAAACAAAGTGTTGATCATCCTCACTTACAGCAATCCCAATGGGATGCTACCATAGCAACAAGTGTAACAACACAGAATTGGGACCAGGCCAAACAGATGAGCACTCACTCATTAATGTAGCAGAGAGCCGGGACAAACTACTAGGAGAGCACAAGCTGGCACTGCCCAGTAACAGGCCTTACATCAGTATTACCCAGAGCGATATGAGGGGTTGACTTACTTATGAGGCTGGAACATAAACTGTCCACTCACATCTACCAGTTATTTAAACTATAATCACTTAATAATTAGTAACATCTGTAAAAACACTGTATTTAAGTGCACAACATAAACCCCTTTGGGCCACTGTCAACTATTTTGAGCATCTTTTGGCAGGTTGGCAGACAAAAATCTTAAAAACAAGTTATTATTTGCTGTATCCTCTATGTACTATCCAGGATTTCTGCAGTATTCATTCAATTAAATTTAAGATTGCACAAGACTTTTACAATACCAAATAAAATGCTATTTAATGTTTGAATTTTGAATTATGAATTTATTGAGCTTTCTATCTAAGTTACTGTATATTATATATAAAGTTCAAGACTTTGGTTAATGAAATTGAAGACTTTGAGCACAAAACTACAACAAAAAAGTTAATGCTTTTTTCAGACCTGCAGATGCCCTGACTATCTTCAACTATGGTGAGTGAAAGCTCTGAGCATGCCAATTTATCTACTGCAGATGACAAAACCTCATTAACGGCTGAACTGTGGAATAAAAAGGTGAATTGAAAACCTGTCCACATCACAGAATAACCCACAAGAAAGCAGTACCGATACTGAAACAGCCAAACCCAAACAAAAGAGAAGTAGAAACTCCCAACCCTGGGAGGCAAAGTAGTCCTGCATTTTTGACAAAGGTCAAACAGACCTGAACTTTGATTTTCAATCAGTGAAAAAAATAAGTGCTTATTCAAGAAAGCTCAACACTTAGAAAAACAACGTGTTACACAGTGGAATTCAAAGCAGCATGAGATGGCAGCCACAAAATCCGAACACACAAAGCAGTACAGTCACACCCGTAACAGAACACACCAGAACCAAACTTCAGGATATATGGCTCAAGTCAATTAAGACATTTGACATCATTATCTAATTTAAAGAAGCCACCAGAAACCACCTCTGATGGACGAGTGCCAAAATTAAGTACAAGATTCTGCTGGTGGGATTTAACAAAAATTTAGATTTAATTTAAAGCAACCTAATAAAATGAAAAATCCAAGAGGTGAAGAGTGACATTCTCACTCTTGGTTTTTGATAATATAATCATATTGTTGGATTTTATGTTTCAGTATTTTTTTTTTAAATAAGATATAATTATATTATTGTATTGTAGTAGTTCAAAGTTTTACTTGTGACATACATACATACAATGTACCAAAAATAATTTTATATTATTCGATATTATGAAAAATATGATTGAGAAGGTTTTTTGAAAAGAAGAAGTATTTTTGCCCTCCTTGCCAGCAGCAATAAGTTAACAGTCAACAATTACCTGCATCTACTATTATGTTTTTATATTTATCAGTTAGTTTATGAAACATCAAAAAAAAAAAAAAATAATGTTGGAAAATGCCAATCACAACGTTGCAGGTAACATCTTGAAAGGTCTAGTTTGTCTGATCAAAAGTCCAAAATATACAGCTTCCAATGCATTCTTTCACTATTTTTGCTTGCTTGAAAAGTTAGATATTATATCTTTGATTTGTTTTTGTTTTTTTTAACATCTTCCCTCACTACCATGCTTTGCACGTATTGATGCTCTCCTTCCATAAATTGATGCCAAATTGTGGACAATCTCAGCGAGGATGAAATTGAATCAATTGAGTCGCACTGTTTCCATCAATGTACAAAGTAAGATGCATGAGCAACCTGCTGCAACAATGCAGCCACTAAAAAATTCAAGACTCACTTTCTAAATGACAATATTCTATCCTCTCCATCAGCTATAATCCCCATCTTGCTCTGCGTAGCTGGCTAGCCAGCTATCTAAATTAGAGCTGCAGTGATTAGTCAATTAATCAGTCCACAAAAATTGATGTGCTACTATTTCTGCAACCGATTAATCATTTTAGTCTTTTGTTTTTGCTGATTAAAACTCAAATGTGAGGATTTGATGCATCTGATTGTAAACTTACCATTTTTGGATTTTGGTCTGTTTGGTGAATAAAAAAAACAATATGAACACATAATCTTGGGCTGTGGTCAATTATATTTGCATTTTGTTTACGTTTGTCACTCTTTAATAGACAAAATTTTATAGACAAAATAATTAATCAAAAAAAATAACCTATAGTGAGCTTTCCTGAAAACAGTCACTAGTTGCAACCATAATTATATTAGTAAATAAGACTAATGTTGGGCACAATTACGACTAGTTGAAAGACAGACAGGCATGCAGAAAGTTGTCATTGTCAAGAAACTGGAAAACAAATTAAATTTGATATCTCCTGCTCAGATTGTTATATCTTAACAAATATGTTGATGCTAGAGAGTGGGTGATTTGTGACTCCTTCTCAGTCACCATATCCTGTATATTTGGGTGATTTGACAGGGATATAGGGTTAAATGTAACTAATACAGACACTAACTACCGAGTCCAACCCTGTGTGCCGCTGTTATCCAACTAAATCCAAGTTAGTCAAACACGACGGCTTGACAAATCATTGTGTAAAGGAGCCGTACTGTTTGCTTCAAAACTAAACATGTAAACCTTAACTTACGCAAAAATAAGCTGGTGTAAACACAGCAGCCCCGATGACCAGCTGGTAAAAATCACACCAGCCTGCTCTTTCCAGCTGATTCCACCTCTTCCTCGAACAGCTTATCAGGCTAAAGCCCTGCCAGTCAGTTTTACATTAACCACAGAAAATCACCACACCCAGACTACCTTCCTTCTGACACTTTCACAGAGTTTCAAACTCAAACTTTACATCGAGACGTTGTCAAGTGCACTGCTGGTGTGCAGGCTAACCATATCCGACTAATTACCATCAGTTACCCAGTCGGGCTGAGAAGCTAGCCCCCAGCTGCTAGCAGCTAGCTGCGGCTGTGTCTTCCTACCTTGGCTGAGATGCCATGGTGCGCCTCTCACAACAACCAAAGTTGGCTGTCATGTGTTTCTGACAGTCCCCAGCAAGGTGTTCTTCTCACTCGGTCACATTGTTTGACGGTGAAGATAATTTGTTCATTTAAATCACTGTCAGGCCGCCGTTGTTTGATAGTTGTCTGCTAACCGTGCGTCTTTGGGTCGTCCACTCTCTGCCTACTGGATTGTTCTACTCTATTCAGCCATCCGGGGACCAGGCTCAGTTTTATACACTCAATGCAGAGCAAACTTGTCAGGAAACACGACTAAAGCACTTCTGTTACCACTGAAAGCGTAAACATTGCATAAATATAACCAAGAAGTCGATTAAAACCTATATTATTTACTGTTTTTTCTTCATCGCTACAGTTTGGCCAAAGTTTACACCATTACCCCTGCGTGACAGACATGGTACAGTCATCTGTGTTTACATGTGTTTTTACAACTGAGTGGTGTTAGGAGTCCTGACTGAAGTTTTGGCTGTTTGATGCATGACAGCCGATTTGAAGGCTATAGATAGATAGATAGATAGATAGATAGATAGATAGATAGATAGATAGATAGATAGATAGATAGATAGATAGATAGATACTTTTTAAATTTTGTTTTCTGCATATTGTAGAAGTACAGTATGAATAGCTTGTGTTTGTGTATGTGCATTCACGCATTGTCAATAGCCTAAAAAGATAACCAAAATGCCACAAGAAACTTAATAAAATCAGCTGTTTTGTTTTGTCTGTTGGAATTCCTTCCAGAGAGAATTAGCTTTACTGTGGCTCAGTTCTGATACCTGACAGTGTGATCTTTCTTCCTTTTAATGCCACTGTTTGTTCTTATCATTTGCTTGATGGGCAAAATCATTTTATTCCACTGAAAGCTGATTGGGGGGAAAAAAAAAAATCAGCTGCAGTCTTTAATTTAATAATATCTGTCATGTGTGGTCTGTTTTAAAAAAAAAACGTTGCCACTTGGCATCCAGCATAAATTGTAAACCAAATAAGATACTCCACTTGATGCAATATTGAAGTAATGAATATGTATGTAATATGGAAATCTATTCCATTTAGTGCCAGAATCAAAATTTTGCTTTTGGCTGTTGATGCAGTACTTCACTTATTCACAGCTTAAAAAGTTGATGGTGCTGGTAGGAATTCACTCACCTGACCAGAAATACCAGACCAGAAAGCAGACATTTCATTTTCAGACACACTGTGCCTCCATGGTGCCAGATTTGATGACTGAGTTCAGATTTGAGGACACACAGGCAAGCCTGCAGCAGACAACAGAGAAATCATTTAATACATTTCAACATCAACAGGAGGATAATACATCGGAAAGGAGTTGTTGCCTGGGTTGAAAAATCAAGTAGCCTGTGTGTCTTTGTGTTGCTGTTCTTGCAGCACAGACTGTGGAGAAAGGTCTGTTACTGGACACTCACCCTGGGTGGTTATATTATCCTGGTACTGGTCGTCTGCCAACAGAGCACACCAACACCGCCTTCCTTCATTTAGACCTAAGTGGAGGCTCAGGACAGCTGAATGAACCATGAGACTGTAATATTATAAACATATGCCAATATAAAGATGCAACACTACCAGATGGGCCCTAATAAACATTATATAATTAAATGATTATATAATATGATATATCGTACCTGTATTGATCATATCCAGGTTTTCTAATCATCTGTTTGCAGTTTTGTCTTGATTTCTCATCATCTCAGCCACTATATTCTTTACCAACAAAGACAGTTTAGAAAGCTGAATAAGCTGTTTACATGCCACAGCATCCTGGTTACTATCAGAGTGCTCCAGGTACCATACCCAGGTTCCTCAGAAGCAAGATTAGATGTTTAAATGTGCAACACATGACCAGAATACTATGAATGCTTTGACAATTTCAGCACTGTAAACTTGCTTATACATACATTCGAACATACTTTGTATTCAGGTTTAATAATTATGAAGGCTAATAATTATAGAGGGAAATATGAGCCATATACATTCTCCAAAGTCTGGTTAAGAGTTTCATTTGGCTTTATTGAGCACATTATAAGCTGTGATTATCCATTGTGTACACTTCTCAGTCATAATGTCTGGTAAGAAAACTGCATCCATCTAGTGTGCTACACACCTCTGGAGTGTCTCAGGTTATATACAAAAAATCTACGTAGATGTTTGAACTGTTTCTAATTTAAACACATCATTCCTACAATGAGGAGTTACATTTTACATAACACACTCACTCGCACGCACGCATGCACCACACACACGCACACGCTCACGCACACGCACACACACACATACTGCCCTGTGGCTAGCTTGCCATCCAGTGGTTGGATGTTGTAGAGGACAATATTCTTGTATTTCTATTAGTTTCCATGACAACCAGTAGGTGGCACTATATTGTATCTTGTGTAGTATCAAAATAGAACAGAAAATAATAGAATAGACTAAACTTAGATCATTTTGACCACATAATCAGTGGCAGGTGAATTTTGTTTTTGGTAAATAAAGGAAACTTCACATTACATAACAACCAGATGAATACATACTATGTACCGTAATCAGACAAACACATACAGGATGCACACTGTATATATAGTATATTGTAGTAGAATTCTAAATATAATATCACTGTGTATCCCCAACAATCCCAGCACAATTTGTCCAAACAAATTTGTCCATAAGGTTTGCAGTTTAGGTGGCGCACAGTGTTTATGCTTATTCTGTTTTGCATTCATTATAATGAGATCTGGCTTTGCATTAGTAATAGTGATGATATCTTTTATCACTCTTCAAATAGTCGAACACTTTAACATGTGAGTTTTAAAGGAAAATAAATGTTTTGATATTGCCAGAAACACTTACAACCATCGACATTTAATATCTATACTCTTCATTTGATAGAGAACTTTTGCATGTACATTAACTCAACAATAACTGTGCAAGCCCATGGTAAATAATCGTGAATTAGTTACACACTATTGTACGTATTATGGTTATAATATAAGCAGGACTTACACATTCAGATGCAGCTTTAAATGTGGTAACAAGTTATATAAACTGTGTTGACTCAACCTCACTGACAACCACTATACTACAGCGGTGGAATACAATTAAGTACATTTACTCAAGTGCTTTAAAGAAAAATTTAAAGTATTTGTGCATGAGAACTTTATACTTCTACTCCACTACATTTCAGAGGGAAATGTTATGCTTTTACCCCAGTACATTTACCTGACAGCTATACTTAATTTACAAATTAAGATTTTTGCAACCAAAAATTGTGATGGGCTTTTTCTCACTATTTTCAGAATTTTAACAAACCAAACAATGGATCAATGAATTGAAAAAATAATTAGGTGATTAGTGCATTATTAAAAATGAGCCTCACCTCCACGAACAACAACTGTAAAAGGGCCCTGCTTCTCATTAATGCATGAGTAATAATAATCTGAAGATATATGTGTTAGTATAACAGTCACAGAAGCCATTTTTCTGCAGTGAGTACTTTTACCTGTTGTACTTTAAGTACATTTTCCTGATTATACTTACATATGTTTACTGAAGTAAAGTTTTAATGCAGGACTTTTATTTGTAATGAAGTATTTTTACTGAGTGGTAGTTATACTTGTTCTTAAGTAAAAGGTCTGAATACTTATTCCACCTCTGGTATTTTATCCACCACCTTGTTGGTTGGACTGATTTGGATTTCTCTGCCAGAAGGTGACCAGATAGGGAGGACATTTAAGAACACTGTCCCCCAGGACGTCTTCCTGGGAGACAACCTGAACACAGAATGACATCCCTGAATTCTGTGTGCTGAAGTGCTCTGTGACGTCGTAACGGAGGCCGCAGCTCTCTGCGATTGTGGTCGGGCTGTTGTGCACGTGCAGTGTGGTGGCAGTGGGGACAGTGGCTTTCACTTCCAGTTGCTCATGTCCAACAGATATATTCACAGGCAACACCACATAGGCATGCTGAAAGCTCTCCCCAATGGTGCACTTGAGCTCCGTAGACCAACAGTATTCCCCAAGGTCTCCTGGGAAGAGAAACTAGTTTAGGAAGGCCTATACACAGCTTATCATTGCATAGACAGCATAACATAAAACAGGTCATTGTCGGTCAATCAGTGATGGATTTGGCATAATAGAAGCAACAGTTTTCACCACTGATGTTTCAGTATTTAGTTCAGGTATTATTTTTAGAACAAGCACAGCCTGAGAGATTTTATTTTGCAACAAAGCCTCCTTGAGCTGAAAACGCCACTCTGTTGCTCCTTACCTTCTGTGGAGTCTGTAAGCCGTATATTATGCTGGTCCTGCAGTTGCAGCTTTCTGATGAACGTCATCCCAGTGCAGTCCATTAAACAGTCAGTCAGCTGTGTCACCATGCTGGCGATTGGTTTCAGCCTCAGCAACGTTTTCTTCTCTGAACATTCAACTGCCCCTACAGCCAGCAGGAGTTGGGGCAGAACACCAAAAGACATCCACACAGTGAAATATTTTAACATTCTGTTCAGTATCAATAAAACATCAAATTTCTGGCAATGCTGAGCTGTAGGCCCCTATCTTGCTGTCCTCTTGTAGAGCTGTTGCTTTAATGTAGTCCAGGATAAATATATTTCTTGCGCAACCTCAGAATTATCAGTTAAAGCTCCACTGCAGCCACGAAAGGATTTCTAAAAGCCCTGAGTGCAAATATATGCACAGCAAAAACGATGAAGGCTTGTCAGAACATGTTGCTCTTCCTCCTGACCAGCGCCTGGTTTTCTGGAGTACAGTGCCAACATTTCTTCGTCTGCTATTTTCCTCCCTCTAGAGTTAGCATGTCACTGTGTGGCAGGCATCAAATCCTGAAAAACTGTCATAAGGAACGGCTCTAACAAAATCCTTTTTACCATACCAACTTTTGTCCAAAATAAAACTTCCCAAAACACAATAGTATATATTTCATTCATCTTTATTCAAAAATTGTGAGCACGAAAACACTTTGTTTTGAATTTGTACAAATGATTAAGATGGTAAATCAGTGTCATAAGCGGAATAAAACATTCTGCATTTGCAGAAGTGTATTGATGAAGTTCAGCTGATATATCTCTGCTGTGTATTGTTCCACTTGCTAAAAAATACTGGATATATAATAATAATGGTGAGGTAACTTGGTAAAGTGAGTGTGAGCATACAACCAAACAACAGACACAATGATTGTTGAAAAATAAAAAACTGTAACTGATAATAAGTAATGCTTAGAAACATAGAAGAAAAACTTTGCTGTTAAAAATAAATCACACATTATATAGATCAAAGAAAATGTTTTGGATTAATACATGGTCTAATTAAAAATAATAGAACAGACACTGAAATGCTCTAAAAGTAAAAATCTGAATCTAAAAAATGAGAGTAAAATCAACTGGCAATTTTTTGGTTGTGGTTTTAAAATCACAATTTAGACACCATTTCATTCAGATTATATTTTGTCTGCCAGGCTTTGATCTTTCTATTTAGTTCTTTAATCAAATGAATTTACTGGCTGCAAAGCACTACAATGTGATATAACAAAATATGTAGGGAGTAAGTACTATGACTTTTTATTGATTTATTTTTTACACTTTGTTGTAATTATGATTAATTTCAGTTTTTTTAGCCCGCAACATGATACCAAACAATGTTTTCTTGAGTTTTTTGTGTTTGCAGGGCAGCAGTGTCCCGTTTACCTTTTCTGCTGGTTGAAACATGAAAATGGAGCCTGGCCAATGAACGGTTGTGGAAAAACACAGCACAGATGTTGTTGATACCCAGGAGAAGTTGATATTACCTTTTAGGTGCAGGTAGTTTTAGCTGATGAACACAATCTTCTCCCTCCAAAATAGGCATTCATTAAAATTTTACCACATTAAAGACATTTTTGTGGCCTCATTTTGCCCATCAGGATTAAAGTGAATTCTTTTTCCATAAGAGGAAACAGTCGTTTCACAGATCAGAAAAGAGACAACTGGCCTGTGAGAGGTTTTGGCTCTGGGCAGTCTCACATTTTTGGAGGGAACACTTAGTAACAGTTACTAAGTAACTATAAATAGCGCTCTGTCCTCATGAGATTTATTTAAAGATAAACTGGCAGCAAGTCACTTTGCTGGTTCCAAGGCTTGTTGCTGGAGAAATACTTGGATTTATTGACAGAACTGCATTTTTCTTTTTTTGTCGTCCTGCGAAATCTATGCAAACTTTTTTGGTAGCTGTTTAAAAGCAATAGCACATAAATGTAGATTGTGATTTGAGAATTATAATGTGTGATTGATCCCATAAAAACAAAGATAAAGAAAGAAATAATGCTAATAATTGATCAGTTTTATGGTTGGTCGCTTCAACAAATCTGTGCTGCCACTTGTATTATTCTTTGTGGTTACAATAGAGAAACAGGAATGCAAAATTGAGCCTTTGCTTAGGTTCCCACGCTCAGTGTTGAATACACATTGTAATGATCTAAGATAACACCTAAAAGCCAAGAGAAATAGTCTACAGAAGCAGCATCTGTTTGTGAGAGAAGATAGACCTGCATATAATGATATTATCTACTTTTTCTGAAGTTTGTGTTTTTGTTTGTGTGCCAGGTGGCTCACAGATGTCACATACTCAGGGTGATAAAACAAACGTTACTCTCTGCTGGGCTGCGGGATGTCTCCAGGTCCACAGCCGCAGCTGCGGGTCAGCTGCACAGAGGAAATGACGACGGTGCTGGACTCATCCACGTAGACGACAGGCACCGCTTCCTGGGAGTTGGGCTGACAACATGGTACCTGCGGAGCGACAAAGAGAGGAGGAGTCAGGCATGGTAACAGAGTTTGATCCTGACATTGCAGAAACTGTCCCACAAGACTGAACAAATGACTGAACTGAATTTATTTATTTTTCTTCTAAGATATATAGTTCAGTTTATTGTCACCAACTTTTAGTGAAGATGAAGTGATAGACATTTATACTGACTGCAAAAAGGAAAAGGCAAACATTTGTTGCATGATACTTAAAAAAACAAAGAAAATAAGAATAAAAGAAAAAAGCAATAACAAAAATAACAAATGTGGTCTTTCAAAAACATTTCAAAAGACACACACTGGAATTTTGTGCTGCATAGATGTATTAACAGATTATTATTTTATGTACTGTTAAGCAAAACTTTCATAAGACTGCATACACTTAATAACATATGGATAAACATATGATGAGAAATATTTGCTTAAAAAGAGACTAAATTTGAAATTTAGGTCACATAAACCAGGAACTCCTTCACAGTTCACAGTTAAGTCTGAATTACAGGTGCAAAATGAGCCCTTTATACCCACAGTGAATCCCTACGTTTTAGTCATACAGTTATTATACCATCTTGTTTCCATAATACAGTTCTGCAGCGCATCTCGGTTTTCTTGTTGACCAATTCTGGGAAGTGCCTTGGCTTTGTATTTGGAAAAGTGCATTTATGTTGGCAGTGAGAAGGAGAAACCAAGCGTATTTATCATCAGCTCTTTCACCTCTATGCTACCTGCTGCTGGTAACTCCACTGAAATTCAGCCAAAGTGGTGGAAAGTAACCAAGTATTTCTATTCAATGCAACTTCATGCCCCTACTACACTAGTATCAGTACAATATAAAATAATTGGGGTTCGCAGACATGTGATGTCACTATTTAAATGTCTTTGTTAATTATACCTGAGAGTCAGCATCGTGCACATTGGTGTGGGACGGTGGACATCCCACAGGGTTCACATCAGGGTTGCAGAGTGCACACTGAACGATGGTGAGGCTGGAAGGATGGATCACCCAGTTGTCCCAGCCCAGATCTAGCAAAAAATTTGAATGTATTTTTACTATATTTTTCATGTATAAGTGAATGTAAGTATGGATGCACATACACTACACAAAGAATATCTACACACATTGCTGCGTACCTTTCATGAAGATCTCAGAGGCCATGGAGCAGCACTTCAGGGTTGTACTGTTTCCCCCATCAGGTGACACAGAGACCGCTGCAGCTGGAATAACATGGAAAAAGAAACAGTAACAGAAGATTGATTTAGAGTTTTGGCTGGACTTGACAAAGGGTTCTCAGGCTGGAAAATGTGGGATCTGCAGTAGTTTCTAGGAATTTAGAATTCCACTAACCTGCAGTGTGTTTGGCTCTGTGAGAAACGGTGCTGAAGCTGCTCTGCCATTTCTCTCTGACAGTGTCCAGCCCACCAGCAGGCAGCCATGGCTCAGCCTGCAAGTTGAGAGCTCTGAGGAGACCCTTCCTGATGGACTGCAGCGACTCAGCATGGCACCTGAACATCACATACAGAATCACATTGAAATATAACATGAGGCGTTGTGTGGCGTAGTTTTCTAAGCAGGCGCCCCATGTGTAGAGGCTACAGTCCTCGCTGCAGTTGGCCCCGGTTTGAGTCCCGCATCGGACGGCCTTTGCTGCATGTCATTCCCCCTCTCTGCCTCCCCATTTCCTGTCTCTCTCTACTGCACTATCAAATAAAGGCATAAAAAGCCCAAAAAATATACTTAAAAAAAAAAGAAATATAACTATTATAATTACACAGAAATCCTGGACATTTTACAAAAACCAAGAAAACTTAACTGTGTGAACATTACAATCAAAACACAAGGTGCATTAGTTAGTTATCTGTTCCAATACAGATGTTAAATCTCAACAACACACACTCTCTCACTATCCTCAATGACCTGTGGGAACAGCTTAGAGATGTTGGCCAAGTCAAAAGAGAGAAGTCTTGTGTTAAAGGGTGGTTGATAACGTTTCTGAGCAGTGTGTTACATCTCTGCACATTTTCTTAGAAAACCAAACGTACAATGTGACTGTGGATCACCAACAAAATCTAGTATATCTCTGTAACCCATGTGAGAGGGTCTCAGCACACACGCATCCACACAGATGTCTAAATATGCAATCTGAGGCTATTTAAAAATATAGTAACCTCTCTGACCTAACAAGATGTTTCACAATTCTTTTGGACAATATTGAAAAAGATGGTTTTAAATGTTCCTTGCTTACAAAGAAATGCTACTACTAACAAAAGCAAAACACTGCACTGGCACACACAAGTGATAAAATCTGCCAATACAGGCTTGTGTGTTATCAAGTTTGATACTGACCTGTGATTGGAAACAGGAGAATTAGCAGAGGTTGCTGGCTCTTCCTTGGTTGGCTGCAAGACAAATGCAACCACCACTGAAGAGCCCAGAAGCATCGTCATGGCGATGAATGCAAAGGACATGGTGGATGAGCCGGATGGTCTAGCTAGTTGGATGAACTGGATTCGAGTCGGACGAAAAGGCTGCTGTTGGATCTGTGCGTCTGGTGGGTGGAGGATTAAGGAGTCACGAGACAGGGATGCTGTCCTAGGTATTGTTTGTCAGGGCCTGGGAACCTGGGTTTTTATCTTCCTGTACCCCAGCTTGGCCTTGAGATACTTAACATTGTTGTCTTCTCCCCTGTTCCGTGTGAGAGAGTAAGAGGAGGATGATCCAGCGTACGGCAAACAGCCAGGATTGAGAGGTGAGAAAACAGTATGATATATAAGCATACCACATTACGACATACTGTCATACATCACAGTTCACAACAGATCACAACACTCAGGAGAACAAATGCATGATACAACTTCTGCTCCACTGTTGGCCAACTAAAATTAATACAGATTTTTAAGAAATTCCTTTTAACAAACAGTTTCCCCTCTGATGCCCTTTATGTACTGAAGCTTTAAGGTTGCTAAAATCATTTTATTTCTCACCACCAGTATCTTATGTACCAATCAGCCATAATATTAAAACAGGTGATTGGTTTTAATATTGTGACTTTTCTGTGTATATTTGAGCCAAGCCATTAAGGTGTGGAAAATAACTGAAAGTACAAAGTTTTAAATCAAATTACTAATGGTTCAGAATGAACTCTTAAAACAGGTCACAGATATACACCAATCAGCCACACCAATAAAAACAGTCACATGTTTTATTTTGTGGCTGATTGGTGTATATCCTCATATATACGTCTTAACTTGTTCCCGCTTCACATCTTCGCATTATGGTTTAATCTGCGTGAAAAATTCAAAACCAAGATTTGTGTGCTGCACCGTTCCATTAAATAAAACTATTCTAGATGTCTTGTGCATTGTTTTATGCAACTTTCTTCAAAATCTGCCCTGACATATTTGGTATGTTTGGAAACTTTAGGATCTCCTCTAGATATTAAAGTGAAGCAGTTTGGGTTTGAACAATGTTTGACCCTCTAACGGGCCCTAACCAGCATTCAGAGGGGCCACAGGCCACAAAAGCAGGAACCAGAAGCATCTGACAGCATCTGAAGCATCAGAGACTTCACTAGTAGATAACATAAAAAAATAAGCTGTCCATTATTTTCTGCATGTGGGTAGTTATCAGTTTCTATTACAACTCCCATTTTTTGGCCTGACATGAAAGGCAGAAATCTCCCCTGATAGACATTATAACAATAGTTCCCCTACAGTTGTCATTCAAGGACAGGACCCGAAGTGAAGAAATGTAACACAAAGGAAAGCAATAATGAGTGCTGCAGGTGATGCTAATATCTGAAAGCGCAGAGCAAAAAAATATTTGGCAGTGTAACAGTTGTGTAAGGGAGGATCAGAGACATGCAAGGAATGGTAACTTCAAGTCCTGAGTTGCCCTCTCCTCTCCTTCTCCTCTCCTCTCCTCTCCTCTCCTCTCCTCTCCCTGAGACCTAAACTAAGAGATAGTAAACAATAATTCACAAACAGTGCAGAAACTGATATAAGATTTACAATACTGTCTTTTGCAGCTAATATAAAATAACAGGATGATTCTGAAGTGAAGATCATGTTCATTACTGTAGTTTTGCATCTTATATCTGAGATGCAGACCTGCAGGAAGTAAAACTGCGTTTCTTAGTCCGTGCATTAATCCATCAGCGTACTCTGCAAGTCTGCAGGTAGAGAGTGAATAGGAAGGACATGTATACTGTAGATGCTTCCATCTCAGCTCACTCAACTTGAGTACAGTTTTATACTTGCACTTTTCTTGAGTACTTTCTGCTCGTCTACACTTCTACTCCTACTGTTATTTATCTGAGAGCCATAGTTCCTAAGTATTTTTCAGATTAATATTGATTGTACATAAAAAAAAACATATTATAAGCTTATAAAATACAAAGAATTGTTAAATATCAAACCAATGGTTGCCAAGCCTTTTGGTTGCCTTTTGTTTCAGATGTCTGTGAATTGTTAGCAGGTCCACCAAGGAGACATATTTCCTCTAAACTTCTTTTCACAATAAATTAACTAATTAAAAAGGATTCAGTCCAGTCAGTCAGTCATTAGTGTGTTGGCACTTTTAAAGAAGTGAATACTTCTTCTTTCATGACCCCAAAGCACTTTGTGTAATTAATAACCTATCTGGGCATCTTAACACAAATATGTGATGAGATCTTGCCAAAGATGTTTAACAGGTCTCAACAACTGTGTGAAGATCTCCATCACATTAGGTTATTGTCAGGTCTCAACTTCTCAACGCTGGAGTATTTCCATGAAAACCATAACTCCACAGATGTAAGATTGTTTTGTTTTTTTTGGTGTTTCATTGGTGAAATAATTGTTGTAACAAAAATACATCATTAGATTGTTCATACATCAATAGGTAAGTAGCATTTTACTGTTGTAGCTGGTTGAGGTGGAGCTATATTTTACATACAGTTCAGTAGTTTAGTCTAGCAGTTGTGAGATGATTAATGAGGATAGGAAAAAATGACACGTTTGTAAAAATGTATTTGGACTTTGTTCTAATTGCTGTTTTTTTGTTTAATAGTTATAGTCAAGTAAAGTACATGTACCTTAAAGTTGTACCTAAGTACAGCCTTGGAGTAAATGTACTTAGTTACATTCCACCACAGTTAGTGAGCCACATTGTTTCAGTGTTCCTTCATTATGATGAACGTGGGCATTGTCCTGCTGCTGTAAATACTCACTAGTGCACCAAATTCCATTCATCCACTGCTTAAAATAGTCCCCAACAAACACTGTGTACTCGTGTTTGTGTAATGTTTCCTAAAAACTACAGTGTCCAATGTTTTTTTTTTAGGAATGTTTTTTTTAATGAAAGTATATATTAGTGATTTTTTTGAAGATGTACATTTTCAGTGGGAACAAATCGCTTTGGGTCGAGTACCAAAGACAAATTAGAGAAGTTGTAAAAAAAAAAAATTAAAAAATTAAAAAATTGAGAGATTGATTAATGCATTGTTGGTTTTGGACTTCTCATGGGATTTTCTGACGCTAACATAAGTAAACACACACAAATGTGCACAGACAGACACACCTGAGGTCACTGTGGGATACTGCAGCTTCAGACTTCCTCTAACCACGCATGAATGAACACAGTCCTTGAGTATCAGACATCTCCCACCATTTCTTTCTTGTAGTGCCGCTGGGAGTCACGCTCTTCCTGGCTGGGATTCACAAAGAGCTTTTATACACAGATGAAGGATTGTGGAGGATGCATGATGCAGATGTTCCACAAGCAGACAACAGAGATGACATTCTTGAAATGTATTTCAACACAGGGAAAAAAAAAAGAAGGGAGTTTTACAGGCTCATTGACAGCTGGTTACTTTTCATCAATGTTTAATCTAATATGGACTGTAATGTAACAGGATTGAAATTCACCTGTAGGAAATATTACTATAGAGATACATTTTGAAATGCATGTCTGCACACAATGTAATTCCCATAGTCCTGCAAAAAAAACTTCCTTTCTTAAGCATAAGCATTCTTTTGTTTTTGTCAAAACTGTAAGAAAGATGTCAGATGTTTTTCTCAGCAGTCTGGGGTATGATGCTTGACGTTGACCGTGGCGGAGGTCTGTGTTCTCTGAATGCTCTGCTAATTATATATTTTTTATATCCAATATATGTAAAGAAACACGAGATGATATTTGTTTTTATGTAAAACTTTTATAGTGCATTTCTTGCTTGTCATCATCAAATATTTGCGTATAAATATCTTATTTTTCTTGATGTTTTTATATGCCCCAATATGAGCACAAATACAGTCATTTCAAGCTCACTTCTTGGGTTCAACCGCTCCCCTCCTTTTTTCTGAATATTATCACTGATCTACTTGGGATGCCTTTTTTCCCCACTGTTTGTTTTTTGTGGATATATAATTATGTCCACCATCTGCAGAGACACATCAATAATAGTGACTGTCAAATGTTCAAAAACATCTGAAGCTACAGATACAGTACATCGAGCCAAATGGGTCAAATGAACAACCTCTGCACATAATATCAGGTAATTCTTTTTAAATAATATTCTCTGTTACTGAACCTGTACTTTAATTTAGAAATATATCTGCATTTATTGAGGTCAGATTTACCGGTGGTGAGTTAATTGTTAATGGAAACAGCGAGAGTATATTGACGGTAACAGCTGTCATATTAGTCAGGACTTGAGCCGAGGCCAGAACCTCCTTTCATAAACAGTTGCTGCCCTTTATCAGAGCCCTCATCCGTTGATTCAGCGTAGATGCCGCCCGTAGTAAGGGTTTAATCCTAATCCACTTGCATCTTGTTTTGTTTAAGTGATCACAAGGTCTGTCCAAGACACTTGGCTCTGCTGTTCACAAGCCCTTTGTCGGTGTGTGTTTGTGATTATTTAGAGTGTGGCTGCAGAAAAACGGACATCCAGTTCTAACATTACAGACACTGGGACATTTGCTGCTGTGCCTGGGAGATGGAAACGTCTGACAGATAATGTGTGGCTGTAAAATTTGTAGGAAAAAAAATGACAAGGTGTCTTTAAAGATGCTGAGGAAGTGAGAAGAGGTGATGAAAAAAAGGTAGCGTGGCCAGGTAAGGTTACTTTGGGCCAATCCAGTGCTTTTATTTGGCTATGGATTGTTCTGTTTTGGTTGAGTGGAGTATTTATTCTATCCATAATTTTGCAATTATGTCGTAAAAGATCCAGTAATTATAAGTTATAAGAATTATTTCTCCAAATCATTTTAATTTGTTTATGTAGTTGTTTATGATATACTATATATTATTTATAATCAACCTTTTTTCTAACATCAAAAAGTGTAGTGAAATTGATTAAAATAATAGGAAAATGTGTTATGTTGTATATAGAGATCTATTATTGCATTATTGCAGGGCTGCAAAACACAAGGTCAAATATCTTGGACTCATACATGAAAGTATCTTTGTCTCAGTGAAAACAGCAAAGGGTCATGGGATGTGGCATGGGAAAGTCAGAACCACAGCTGAAGAAATGTGATGGAGGTGCGGCCTTTTATCAAAATCACTTTAGTGAATAGTCGAACTTTTAAAAAGAAATGTTCCAAATTATTGCAGTAATTCAATGTCTGTCATTATCTTTTTTTTTTGTTGTCATTTTTAGTGAGCATCTCAGTTCCAGGTAAATATCTGTTTTATTCCATCATGTCTTTACACTTAACAACTTGAGTTCAAATCTATTGGAGAAAAAAAAAGTCTCAATTAGCTAAAATAACTTTTGCAATCTCTTCTCAATTTTTGCACACTCTGTGAAGCTGCCACTGGTGAGTCTTTCAGTCTAGATCTGACACAGTGAATGAATGTGCTGGTCGTGAAAGAGGAAAATTACCTCAGCAGTTTCTCTTTCTCTCCTCTTCTCATTCTCAGCAATCAGAGCGGCTCTGTTGATCCAGCGCTGGTACCGTCAGTACGTGGCCCGGCTGGAGATGAGACGCAGGTGCACGTGGAACATCTTCCAATCTATTGAGTATGCAGGAGAGCAAGACCAGATTAAGGTGAGGTTAAATAGTTTTGTGATGGACAGACATTCATGGTCCCCAGAGGATAATTAATAATGACTTTGGTGAGCCCCTGACTTCTCCTGTAGCATCACCATGAAGTTGACATGTGGTTGAGAGTGAAATGTTTAACTTATTCCGTGAAATATCTCAAGATCCACTAAAAAAAAATTGGCTCAGAATTTTGTACACACATTCACGGTTCCCAGGTGATAATTTCAAACAAGTCTCTAAGTTTTCCTCTAAAGCCACGAGCTGGTTGACAGTTCTTGGATAGATTGCCATGAAATTCGGTACAAACATTCATGGACAACAGATGATGTATTGTAATATCTTTGGTAATCCTTTGACCTTTCCTCTAGCTAAAAATGATTGATCAACTGACTAATTACTTGATCAAAAGAAAATCAATTTCAGTCCAGGTTCTCAAATGTGAAACTTTGCTGCTTTTCTTGGTCTTACATTGTAATGTGAGCTTTGCGTAGTTGCTAAAGAAGTGATTCCAGGATGTGAAATTGTACTCCTGGATATTTTGGATATTTTTTCATTATCAGATGTTAACATCAACATGCTCATGTTGTCATATGTACATGAGCATATGTTAGCCTGCTGATGTTAACATTTAGCCTAAAGCACCACTGAGCCTAAGTACAGCCTCAAAGCTGCTAGCATGGCTGTAGACTCGTAGGAAATCTCTTATCAAATTCTCCTTTCTCTTCCTGTAGCTCTACAGTTTTTTTGGCTTCCTGATGGATCACTTCACCCCAGCCAGCAGTGAAAGTAAGACAATGACTCTCAACTCCTGTTTTAATTCACTGACTTGTAGATTTCATTAGATTACTGACAGTGACATAATCTGAGCTCACCCGCTCCACCCCCTGCTGAGAAACGTAGAGTGGCTTTCCCTTACCGCACTGCTCCACTTCCCTTTTGTTTTCCCTCTCTCGCGTTAACGCAGGAAACCTAATATCGCACATCTTTCGCGAGAATGAAATCTGTCGTGACACGGAGTGGGAGAGATATTTTTGCTACAAGAGCATTGAGGTACCTGACGGCTACACCGGCCCTCATCTGACCTTCCCTATGACCTTCTGTGGGGTGTCAAAGCTGGTGGAGGCCTTCAAGCACAAACAAGTAGGCACACAAGCACATGAAGCACACTCACTGCAGATACAAAAGCAGACAAGTTTCTAATGGTTGACGTTTTCCTCAGCACTCTTTATTCATATGTGTTTGTTTTTCCCAGTAGCAGCTCCATGCTCGATACGTCCTGCAGCTTCTTGGAGAGACTTGGAGATGTCTAAGAATTCTTAAAAATATCAATCATGTCTCCACCTGCCATACAAAGGAGATTACCATATGCGGTACACAACAGCAGGACCTTTCCTGGACACATTTTGCTCTGATATTTTCTCATACATTCTTTTCATTGCCACGAACGTAAACGCATTACTTATTCCTACCCAGGAGACCTACATGGGCACCTTGAAGACCTGCTGATGATATTCTATAAGGTATTCGCAACATGCAAATCAACATATTGTCAGTGAGTGATGTTTGTGTTAATTAATACCTGGAACTTAAATCTGTCCAGAATGGTTTGCCATCCTCGGAGAAACCGTACGTCTTCAATGGAGATTTTGTGGATCGTGGCAAAAACTCCTTAGAGATCCTGCTCATCCTGTTTGGGTTCCTGCTGGTCTATCCCAATGACGTCCATCTGAACAGAGGGAACCACGAGGACCACATTGTTAATTTGAGGTACACTCGGCCTGGCTCACAGTATGCACGCTGGTTTCTTATTTTTACACGCCTGTTTTGTTCTGCCTGTTGTCTTTCATATACGGCTGAATGCAACCTACAGCTGATGTGTAAACTAATCTGCTTATTCATTGGGTGTCTTCTCCAGATATGGTTTCACTAAAGAAGTTCTGGGAAAATACAGGGTAGGTCTTGTGTGTTTTGCTCTGACCTTAGTATTACAGTATATAGGTCTCAGCCAAATGTATCCTCAGTGGTTGAAGAAGTATTCATATCCACTAACAAAGAAGAAGTAAAAGAAGCAATACTCCAGTTGAAAAGTTGGCCATTATAAATAAAGGTTATTCATTCAAAATAGAACAGCTTAAGTAGAAATAAAATAAGTATTATCAGCACAACATGTGTGACTCCCATCATGGGCGTTATGGTGCGAGCACGTGTTATTTAACTGGCACCAATGACGGAGGATTAAAGGATATTCTGTATTTTTATTATCATCAGCAAATGATCAAAATCAAATTGCAATCCATCCAAAGGGTAATTCATCCAATAATTATTATAAGATATTTCAGTCTGCACCAAGGTGGTGGAGCAACAGACAAACATTCTCATCCATAGAGCAACACAATTAGCGTGGCTAAAAATTGCCCACATGAATAACATATGGAGTCCATTATAATAATCCATCCAATTGCATGTAAGTAATCATGAGCTTGACTTGGTCTGCAGCTGCACGGCAAGAAGATCCTAAAGCTTCTCCAGAAGATCTTCAGCTGGCTGCCTCTGGCCACAGTGATCGATCACAAGGTGCTGATTGTGCACGGAGGGATCTCTGACAGGACAGACCTCGACACGCTAGCCCGAGTTGACAGACACAGAGTAAGAGGGGCGTTCAGCATCAATTAAATGAATGAATTTTTATGCAGCAAATCTAGAAATATTATCATAAAATATCCAAAGTGGATGTGTATGTGTGTTTAAGCTGTGTGTCTTTGAATGTGTGCAGTACGTGTCGGCCCTCAGGCCTCCTAAGCCGACCCATCATGAAGTCAACGGCAGCAAGACTCAGACAATGAACAACGATAACCAGGAGTCCTGTGGACCAGTGGAAGGCCGCCGTCGAGTGTGTTCTCTGACTTACCACAGCTCGGCACCGGCTCAAAGGCACAACCTCCCACGCCGCTCGCTGCACAACCTGCCCACGAGCAGTCAACTCAACTGGTCAGTGGAAGAGGAGCTAAAGAGGAGGCGCAGACTGGCTGGGTTTGACCAGTCCTATGGAGAGCTGCAGAAGTCTGACTCTGACTCAGACCCGGAGCCTGGAGAGACAGTGGAGACAGATGAGCATGAGTGGAAACAGGTGAGTGTTGGAAAAGAAACTGGATCTCAGCAGTTGTTGTTGTTTTGGCACACATTTTAATATTTTGTGACTTTGCTATTTGGTCTTTTGTTAGCTGTTACAGAATGTTTTCACTATAACTGATTCATCCACCCAGATAGTGGATATGTTGTGGAGTGACCCCATGCCCCAAAATGGCTGCATTCCCAATGAGGTGCGAGGTGGAGGCTGCTACTGGGGTCCAGATGTCACTGAAGAGGTGTTAGGAAGACACAACCTGCAGCTGCTCATCCGCTCCCATGAGTGCAAACAGGACGGCTATGAGTTCTGCCACAACCGCAGGGTGAACACAAAGAGTCACATAAGGCACAGGTTTAGGAGGGAAAGTAGAGTTTAAGGTGGAATACTGAATATGGAAGCAAGTACTTGTAGTGTTAAGAACACTGTAGGAGCATGAATCCTCTCGTTTAATTCAGTCTGTTAGCTTTTAGTTTTAGAGAATTGACCAACTGTCTCCTGCTGCATTCAGGTGCTGACTATATTTTCAGCGTCTAACTACTATGAGGTGGGCAGCAACAGAGGAGCCTACATCAGAATGGGCCCTGATCTGGTCCCACACTTCATTCAGTATCAGGCCAGTCAGACGAGCAGAGAGCTCACTCTGAGACAAAGGTAACTAATGTAAAAAAAAAAGGCTCATTTAAGATAATAGAAAACAAGTTATAAAGAACTTTTAAACACTTTTAGTGAATTAATTTAGGGGGAAACGAAAAGCTTTGTGCGAAGAATGATACTTTTGATACATTTTTTTTTCCTCTACCTGGTCTTTGCCAGTGTTGGGTGGACGGAGAGATCAGCTCTGCGAGCTCTGAGGGAACAGCTGTTTGTACATAAGTCAGATCTCATCAGTGCCTTCCAGGAGTTTGATCCTAACAACACAGGTACACTCATCTACAACGGAGAAGTGCTATTTCATCACCTTCTAGTTGCAGTGTCAGAATGTAAATATTTGGTCTATAGCCCACTCTATCTTCCTGTCTGTGACTCAGGGGTGATCAGTCTAAGGCACTGGGCCAGTGCCACAGAGACTGTACTGAAGCTGGGTCTGCCCTGGAGGGTGCTACGCCCTCAGCTCGTCAGCAGCACCCAGTACGGCATGGTCAACTACCAGCAGTGGATAAAGGAGCTCTCTATCACTGAGCCCAAACTTGAGGTCAGCCTTATCCCACTAGCTTCAGTGTGTCGTTTCTCTCCCTCTCTGAGACACACAAAGAGTTGAAAAATCATAATGGATTTGTCCTTCCCATTACAGATATCTGACACCAGCATCCTAGAGACTATGTACAAAAACCACTCCAACCTGGAAACCATCTTCCGAATCATAGACACAGATCACTCTGGTCAGTAAGCAGCTTCGCTTAATTCTTTTTCTACCTTTTCATACCTATACATTCTGCCCTCGTTATTTCATCGGCCGGGAATATAACACCGCCACTTGTCAGAGAGACAGAGGTATTTCTATCAGTGGTTGACATAGACATTTAAAACCAGCTGAAAATGAATCCACAAAACATGCAGCATTTGACACAACATAGATTTTCTTTGCCACAAGTTTGAGCAGTTTAAAAATGACGGCTTGTTCCCCCGTGTCACTGACCAGGTTTGATCTCTTTCGAGGAGTTTCGTCAAACCTGGAGACTCCTGTGCTCTCACCTCAAGACAGAGATCAGCGACGAGGCCATCGCAGACCTGGCCCAGAGCATCGACTTCAACAAGGACGGGAGCATCGACATCAATGAGTTCATGGAGGCGTTCCGGCTGGTAGACCTCTCTGCACATGCCTGAGAGCCCCGACCAGGAACTGTAGCTGCTGTAGTTGCTGATCGGCTACATAGAGAACACCAAGAACTGTCTTGAGTAGATGCGCCTGGACACTCATCTGTGGAAATTTGAATGAACAGTAGTATTTCATCCACATGACCTGGGAGGACTGAGAGTGCATCATTGTTTATAAGATACAAACTAGATCTTTTCTACCTCGTAGACTTTTTTTTTTTTTTACAGTATTAATTTTTCATTCAAGTTTATTCAAGAAGTGTAAAGTGTATTTTATAACCATCTGTTTAGTTATGTATTAAAAAAAACCTCAAACACATGTGGTGCTGTCTTTTCCTTTTAATACTGAGTGAGCTGTTGACAATGTCGGAGCCAGACAAGTTAGAAATTAAAAGGAACTGCACCGATCTGACACATCAGTGTGTTTACACACTTGGAGAGTACCCTGCATATGTGACAAAGTTATTTGAAGTCTTCTGTAGCTCCAGAGGGAGCTGTGCAAAACTGGATAAATAACCTCAATGAAATGTGAGTTGAGGCAGTGTCAACTATGTCTGAAGTCTATAAGCTTTGAAAATGAAAAAAAACAAGGGGTGTGGAGTTAGAAAGAAGTGACCTTACCTGACATCTGTAGTCCGCAACATCAGCTACTACTGCTATAAAAACAGAGTCTTCCACAGAACCATCTGTAGTCAGGTTTTGACAGAAGGAAGAATGTGTGGAATAAAAAATAATAATAATTATATCTGGTTCTGCTGCATTGATTTTTACCCTGCCCCTGCAACTCTCCACCATGAATCCAACAATGTTACAGAAGTGTAATCCAAGTGTTTACGTGTTTAAGAGAGAGACATACAAATTACATACTCATTTAAGTAAAGATCAAATGGCCCACAATCATGTAGCCTGACAGACATTTGATCAAGGATTAAAATTCTAAATACTATAGCGTTTTAAAAATGCATTCCAACAGATTGTAAAAGCGAACACAATGTATGTACGAGTATCATAAACATAAGTGGAGCTGGAATGATTAGGCATTGACAGGGGAAAAAAGTTAAATGTTTTGATAACTGATTAAATGAAATTGTTCAAGTGATTTTTCACAGGTTCAACTTCCCAAACGTAACAAACTTCTGATTTCCTTTGTCTGTGTGAAAAAAAATAATTATTTAAAATACTTAAAAAAAAAAAAAAAAGATGAATAAATAACGAAAATAATTCTCAGTATTTAATCAATCCATTACTATGATTTCTGGATTGCAGCGGTATTAGTTATTAATCTATTTCTGTCAATATTATTATATATTATAATAATATAATATTGTAGTACTACTTACTACATTAAGTGTTTTTGCTTGTTTCAAGTATAACAATCATGCATCATCTTATTCTGCAGAACTAGCATCACAGTCATTAGGCGCTACTTCCACAAAGGTGTAAGCAAGTACATGGATACTTTATTTCTATCTGTGCTCTCAAAACCATGGTGTAATTCAGACCCTTAGGATATGGGTGAGCCGTCTGCATGAGGGGATATAATCTTTCTGAAAGCTGCTTAATCAGTTCAACTGCCAATCAGTCTTTCATCCTTATGGGGATGTGAATCCAGGACATGAATCCTATCAACTCAAGCCCTACTTTGATGAGATGTTGGAAAAGGCTAGTCTGAAGAGGTAAACACAGGGACCACAACAATGCACCTGTATGATGTATGTGTGTGTATGTAAGAGATGCAGTGAAAAACTTGGTTTTCAATTTAAATGAAATTTTAATAATATTCTAACAGCATAAAAAAGAAATACAAAGATGTATTTACAATGTATTCAATCACAACACACTCAATCCCATGACTTGTTTACATGCCAATCACACGCATAGTCGCATATTTATAATCTGACGTGACATGAGGGAAGCCAGCTATTATTAGATGATGTCGAGTCTTTCCATTAAGCTGTCTACATCGGTCCAGAAAGATTAACCAGTCATTGTGTTGCTGGTACAGATAATGGGGCAAATCCTGATAAACCTGGCAAACTGCTGATAAAAAGGACATGTTGACTGTTCTTTGTGACCGGTATACCCCCTTTTCAGGAAATTGATCGTGAAAGTAAGAGTCAGAGCACATGTGTGTATTTGTTGGGTAGACTCAGCTCAGGATGCCTCCTCTCATGTGTCCACTGTCGCTCAGCCCGTGCTCTATAAGTTTGATGTCTTCCAAGTCGTCTTTGATGACACTGATCAAATGACTTAAACCATCCTGCTGCTGCTTCAAGTGCTGAAAGTGGGAGACAAGTAAACAGTGTTTCAGTTGATGCCAACAGTTTTCTAAAGACAAGCATGGTTTCGAAAGTCACAAGTGTGCACTAAAAAGGTCTGGGCCTTTATTTATGAAGCTCCGCAGAGTAGGAAATCACCACTAACTGGCCAAAATTTCCCAGACTGACACATTTTCGTGTTTGAGAGGAGTCCAAACAAGTTAGGGGTCGCTGGGAGAAGGCTTTTGGCAGATATTCCATGAGGACAGATGTTTTTGCAATGCTTAATGACAGTAAGCTTACTAAAAATTTTTCTGACTGTGTGTGGGATACACAGGAGAAAACACAGCGTCTCTGCAGAAACTAAGTCCTCACAAGTCAAAATGGAAAACGCAGCTGAGCAACAGTGATTAGTCTGTCAGGACCTTCAATCACACTCACAGCCCCTCATAAAGCAAACAAAAACTTGACTGGATGTCACTTGCACAATGAAGGTGATTTACTTTCAAGTACTACTCTGACAAAAGAGTGTTTTTGGTCTTAATAAAGACCAATAACTTAATAAATACCGGCCCTGGACAAGAATGACAGGAGAAAAATGCATTGTGTAAATTTTCTGACTCTCACTTGTTTGATTTCTCTGAGCAGGTCTGCATCAACACTGTAGCGCTCTTCTGATCTCACAGCTCCAAAGTGGTTTTGCATCCGGATTTGGGACATTAGTTCGTTCAACCGACCCTAGAAGGTAAGACAACACAAATACTATAAAACATCAAATTAAAACTTTGATGCTTGATTGAATGAGATTTGTAAAAATTGAAATATTATAGCCTAAATAATCACAGAAATGATTGTAATTACAAATATGGTTTCTAAAATATCCCAACATTAGTAATGTTCTTACACAAACATTACACTGAATTTAGAGAGTCCTTGATAATTAAAACCTGTAAATATGATATCATACAATTCTAAACATGCAGCGAAGCCACTACCCTGATTTCAGGTCTAGTAGTAATCGCGCTACATGAATGAAAAAACTGACACTTTAGACAGTGTGCACTTGTAACAGCTACACTTGCCTTGAACTGTGTGGGAGCATTGAGTTCAGACTGAATGGTGTCCAGCTGCACCCTGAGATGCTCCTCATCCACTTGGATAGCGTAACCACTTTTCCTCTGAATCTCCTGTTTAATCAGCACCTGCCAAGAAAACAGAGGAAGAGGAGGATGAGTGATAAATATAAAAGAATTACGGAAGCAAGAAAGATAAATCAGGGAAAGATGCAGTCATCGTTGGGGCGTTCATTCAAACACCATGAAACACTCAGATAGTTGTGATTACAGTTTGTTTCACTTCTCTTGGAAAACGAGAGCTAGAAATCAACTTTCATTGAACGAAGTTTGAAAAATGAAGCTACCTGCAGCACTCTGTGAGAGAGATCCATCAGTTTCCTCTTGTATTGGGCAATCTTTGCCACTGTGGTCGCCTGGTTCTTCTGCAGTTCACTGATGTCACTGGAGATTATCTGTAAGGCCAAATATGTGTGTGAGTGAAAACAGGGAGGAGGAAAATTGTTACCATGTTTAGCATTTCTCACAGATTTCAAGTTTTATTTTAGCCCCATGAAGCTGTAAGCAATCCCTGCCCTCCTGCCTTAGCTTGAAAATATTACATGATGTTTTTATATTTTCCTCAGCAACATACTGCAACAGAACAGACATGCAGTATAATTTCATATAAACTTGCAGATGCATTTTATGGTCATATTAGCGAGCTGCTTTTGACAGTGCCCCAATTTGTTTTGCAAGTAAGTTTTACAAGCATTTTTCCTGTCTATGCATCATGGTTAGTTACCTTATTATCTCACATGATGCATCTGCTGTAAATATCCTCACACCCAAACTAAGCTTAACATACATGACTGTAACTGAAGGGGACTTTTATTCACCTAATTTATTGTACTATATTGTCCTAATTTATTGTCTTACTATTAAATAAGCCAAAACTATTTTTGAAAGACCTCTGGATTCTTCCACCTGCAGCTGTACTTGTAATAGTAATTTCAGTTGTCAACAACCAGTTGGCAGCTAGCATGAATCGGACATCTGTGTACTCTGTCCTTGACACCACTAAAGCTGCTTCAAAATTCCTTTGTTGATAATCAGAAGGCTCTGTGCCCATGTCCAGTGAGTTTTTTTTTTTTTTTTACAATTACAGTCCTAAGACTAGAAACAACAGCAACAGTGTTTTCACTTACATCCACTCTGGTCTGATGCTGTTTGGTCATCTGCTCCTGGATCTGCAGCCTGCGAAGGAGCTCCTTAAAACCCACCATAGGTACTGGGATTAACCTGAACAAAAACATTAATTAAAGATTAAGGCTCTAGTTAAACAAGGAAAACCAGGAAAATGTGTGCTGTAATGGCCATTGGTCAGGGGACCATAGGCCATCTTTATTCTTTTGTTGAAAGACAAGTGTCATGTTGTCAAATAAGATAAAAAATAAATTGTGTTAAGCCTCACTTTAATACTCTATATCATATTTCAGATATTGAATGTGAATCTCTGCAACGGAAGTGGCAAGTGCAGTTTGACTGACCCGTAGTCAGAATTTCCGCTATTATGAGATGATGAATACCATAATTTCCCTTTAACTGTGAAGTATACTGTGGATGTGCCATGGGATGTAAGTTTAGATTTCAAATACAACTGTATTAGCTGTGAGAAATTAAAACGCATCAACTGGTGGACCTAAAGAATCTCCCAGTCTTTTGTAACTGTTCTCCCCCTCAACACATTCCTCATATACCATCAATAACGAAGTCTTGAAATTACATTCTTAACCAACTTACTTCTCTGGGTCAGGGTTGTCTACCTTGGCCTGTTCCCAAATGATAGGGTCCACTCCTAGTAGGGAGAGACAACAACTTAGTAACAAAACAAAACTATTAAATCACAGATCGACAATTTGCTGAATTCAGTGAGAAGATGCCACAAACATGCAGGAACACTCGTACCTGCGGGAGCATTTTGCAGCAGCTGTTTGAGCTGTGCTGGTGACAGCTCTGTGCGTGTGACAGACATGGCCACTCCAATCTGTGTGAGCTGGACCTTGATGTTGGCCTGCTCCAGATAACTGAAGAGTGTGGTTGCGGGGATCCGCTTGGAGGTGCCATTAGCAGAACGCTCCACCACGTAAATGATCACCTCTGTCCTGAGAGACAGAAGACACATGAAGAAGACCCCTTATTTGTTCATGACGAATTTGTCTATTGTCTACATTAAGAGTTAGGAAACCATGTATATAGTAGTAGTACTGTAGGACATGTTATAGACACTTACTGGTCATTTGGCAGGGCTTTGACACCATCTACATTGACAGTGAGTGTTTGGTTGCTTCCCAGGACCTTATGGAGAGACTCCACCAGCTGCTGCTGCTGCACTCGCACATCAGCTTCCTTTTTATTGAGAACCAAGACCACTAAACCATCCTCATCCTTACTGACTGGGACACAGCTATAGCCCACTGCCTAGGAAACACAGGACACAAACGGATATGGAGATTCAACTTCAAATGAACCAACCACACTTCCAGCCTCTCTAATCAACTATCCCTTTTTACCTTGAACCTGCAGAATGGGTTCTCCAGTGTGAAGTCCACAGGTGGGTTGTTGTTGCTGTAGTAGCCCTTCCCTGTGCCCCAGTACGCCTGTAGCTGGTTCCATTTAGCTAAGATGGAGTCACGCTCATCTCCCAACAAGGTGGGAGCTGACAGAGCAGTGACCTGCTGGTAAAGGTGGGTGGGCTGAGCCTGACCCTGCTGCTGAGCCTGCTGGCCGAACAAGCCTCCTGGTATGGGGAAGGAGAGGTAAAATTACATATGCAGAAACAACTTTATGTTTATGTTTTTAGGGGAAAACTACTCAGTTAAATAATTGTTATTTTTACAACGTGTTTTACAATTATACAAAGTCTGTGTAACTAAAGGCTTATATTTCAGCCTCAGCACACTGATGGTTTGTTGACTATGTTTAAGCTTAAATCTGTCACTTTCTGAGTGTTGTCGCCCTCTGCAGCAGTGAGGTGTACAGCACAGTTGGTAAAGATTGTAGGTGAGCTTGCTATATATTCCTGAATCAATGCAAAAATGCTGCAAAAACACAGCTAACACTTAAAAAAATATATATATATATTTATCATCTTTGCTTGATTTTGAAATGGACAACATACAAACATGTGAAATGAACTGTTTCCTGTTTTAAAGAGACTTTTCTGGCAAAATCATCCAGGACAGGCCGATTAACATTTCTGCAAACACAGAGAATGCACTTATTTGTGCGTTTTATGATGTTCCTCCCGTAACTAGGTTTTAATGTTCTTTAATGTTCTAATCTTCACCCAGAAACAATAAAACTCTTATTTGGAAATATGGGCTCTTACCTTGCTGCTGCTGAGTTGACTGGATATTAAAGCCTCCAAACCCACCCAGGCCAGTCGTTCCTAATCCAGTCCCAAATCCTGTTGTCCCAGCAGCGGTTCCTGTGCCGAGCCCAGAGGAGAAACCAAACCCTTTGTTCTGCGTGTTACCAAACAGGCCTCCTGAAACAGAAGAGTGCGCCAACACATTGAGAAAATATTACCTTCAATAATGCTACTGAATGCCAATAAAGTCTACAGAAATATTCTGCCGGCTTTGCAGAAGGATCATTGCAGGAATTAAAGGAAGGACTTGCTGTTATGGTAGAGTGACTGAGACATCTTGTGGAAGCTTCTATAAGTGTTGGCATTTTAAAACAAAGCTGAGTATGAGGCAGTATGCAACAGCAGGATGAGTTAAGAGTTACGCTAAATTTTTACATCTCCAAATAAGTTCTTAACAATTTCTTGAGAGTTTCTTGTGAAGTGCTATGTAATTACTACTTATAAAGAAAACAGGTTGCAATGTTCTTAATAGTTGTTTAGATTTTAGTTAGTGGTGTTGAGTTCAAAAGCAGCTTTTGATTTCCAAAGGCATTTCCTTGAAATATCAGTTTTATTTAAACCTAAGTCAAAGATTATTTAATATTTACCTATCATTGGAAGATTTATTTTTGATATGTGCTGAACTGCATGCCTGCCTTGGGAAGAACAGCACACTTTTTTATGCTCAGTTGACCTGCTGTGCACTGACTTAAGAGACTCTAAGTTACAATAGCTTAGCAATGAATGTTTCTTTCCAGGAAACTTCTGAAATTATTTGGAATTTAAGAATCCCCATAATATAAAGGGTTACTATACTATATTATTGAAAAATGTGCCAAAATCAGTTTTCCTGTTCTTCAATTTTTTTTAACCCTATCTAATATTATCTCATCCTAGCTTAAATGTTATTATATTAAATGATTAACCTATTGTCTGTATTAGGCTTCATTTAAAGGATTCAAGTCATGTTTTTAGTTTCTTTTTTAATGCAACATACATTTAGACCTCTGCACTTCAAACAATAAGAATGAAACACACAACAGGATTGAGTACTCAAAGGCAATCACTGAGCAAGATGATATTCACAGCATCATCTAAAAAAAAGCACTTAGATCATAGAAGAGTCAAGATTTTTGTTTTGTAATTTCGACTCAACTGTACTGTACTCAGGCTGGATATTTTCATCATATTGTAATACGGCTGATAAAACCCGTCTTTGATGATCATTGTCTCAGCTGGGCAAAACTGCTGAATGTCCCTTTTTTATTTATTTTTTTGTGTACATGCATATTTTCTGTCTGTCATGAACATAAATGATAACAAAAAGAAGAGACATTTCATATTTTGTTGTTAAAACTGAAGGCAGCTCTACAACTGACCTGCGGTGTTGGAGGGAGCAGCAAAGCTAAAAGTGGACCCTGCTGGAGCAGCAGTTGTTGTGGTCGTCCCAAAGCCACCAAATGCACCTGAAAAACAAAGCAAATGATTACAAATGAGATAGAGGGTGTGATACAAAAGGAGGTGAGAGAATGAAAAAATGAAATTGCTTACTATTTGACATATAGTAAAAGTTGAAATCACAACTAAGCCTTTAAAGATTAATAGTAAGGAAAATTGAATTTTCTTTCCATTCAATCTAGAATTCCTCTTTTATCTTACATGTAAGGTGAATATGTACTGACTTTCAACAGGAATCAAATGAAATGAGTGCATAATTTAACATTTAGTCTCCTCATGCAAACGGAGACAACAAAGCATCACATTTTATAAGATAAATCACGAGGTGACATGAAAAAGCATTGCACCACATAGATGTGAAAATGGATGAAAATGTGTGTTTACAGACACAGACTGTACTGAGTAATCAATCACAAAGGTCATCTACCTGTGCTAGCCAGGCTATTACCAAAATTGAAAACAGTGCCAGTGGTGGTTGCTGTACCAAAGCACCCCACATTAAAGCTGACTGCTGCTGGGTTGGCATTTAAACCAAACCCCCCAAAACTAAACCCACCAGCCGTGGTGTTTCCAGCTCCCAGCCCCCCAAATCCTGCAGCCAGTGAAGGCAGGCGGCAAGAAAGAGAGAATGACATGAAGGAGTTAAATGACAGGATATCAGGCTTAGTATGGGCTCATTAATTGTAAAAAAAAAACAAAAAAAAAAAAAAAAAAAAAAACAGTCCTCCGACACCTTAAAAAAAGACATGGCTTAAAAATTATACAAAAACAACGTGCTTCGTAAATAAGCTGTGTATTTTACCAGTGTTGGTGGAGCCAAAACCAAATCCTGTGGCTGGTGCAGCAGCAGCAGTGGTGGTGGCTGCCCCAAAACCAGGAGCTGTAAGAGCTACAGAGAAAAAGCAGACACAACGCAGACTGCGAGTTAAACTGGCACACTATCAGATTTGAATACAACAAGTATATCCAAAAATAGCCAACACAAATTTGCTATACCAACCAGTTAGTCATCATCTGTGAAGCCTTTGCTCACATTAACCCAAAATATAATGCTTGCTAATACTTCTGATAAAGCATAAATGTCACCAGTGTGTGGCTGTTCGTAACAGTATGTTTTAGTTTTACAAGAGAAAAGACTTCAAAGACGAAGCTCAAAGCACACAACAAGCATGACTTAAGCACAATCATGAGCTTATAGTATAGGTTCAGTTTTTTAAGAATCTGTCTTAAAACAGTAGTCCAGGAATTCGAATAACTCAGACAGCTGAAGCATCATGTTAACCTCACAATTTTCTGCATGCATTTCTGCACAGCAAAGACTGTGGATTTCATCCTCTATCACACACATTGAATTAGGAAGGGCTCTCTTAAATGCCAGTATGAACAGGAGGAATGATCACAGGGGGCAAACCCTTATGTTCATAGATTATTGAACTGTTTGACGATAAACTTGAAAAAAATAATCATTATCATTTAAAACTGGTTGATATGGCAGATACACATCTGGTCACCTCCCCCGGGGGTCTCTAATAGGAAGAGGGTGAGTCCAGTGACCACTGACCAAAGCCAGAGCAGAGGGGCCCCCGTCAGTGACGATCGGGGCCCTGGACTTACTGCCGAATCCGGATGAGGCGGTGGTGGTGGTGGCTGCGGGGCCAAAGCCAAAAGCTGTAGATGCTGTGGTCTTAGCACCAAATGTACCGAATGAAAACCCAGGGGCGCCTTCACAAGAACACAGAGAGAGCTTTGGGTGTTAGGACAGTGCAGCTACGACGGATTTTTAAATCAGGAACAAACGTTAGCTCACACAAACACCAGCTCGTGAGGACCGTTGATTAGCCAAAACAGCTAGCCAAGGAGGCACATGCTAACAGTACACATATAATAAAGACGGCTATCTAGCCTACTTGAAAAAGGGGAATTAACATTTCTTGCTCAACAGTTTACTACCTTTACTTTACTGCAAGCATTTCTTATTGAGGTTATCATTAGCCGGTAGATGTCATGCGTTCATGCTACGGCAGTTTGATATGAGCTATCAGCTGATTATTTACATTTATCGCTACTCTATGGACACCGAAATAACACTATCTTTCCAAAAAAATATGCGGGATTTTTCCAGCCTCATTAAAATACTCTTAAATTGAACATACTTGCAGCTGTGTTTCCCGTGGCGCCGCCAAAACTGAACGCCATGTTGACTACCACCAGAAACGGCTTCTTCTTCTTCCTCTTCTTGTTGACATAAAGCAGCTATCACCCAGCAAACGGCGCAGTATCGCCACCTGGAGTCAGGACAAGAGATGACTACTACCTACTGCAGGGATGAGACTAGATACATAAAGAAACTCAGCTTTGAATAATAATTTGTGCCCATCAAAAAGCCCAATTGCTTGGTTAGAAATTCTTAAAATAATATTTATGCTAACTCTCTCATTGATAAATTCAGAATCTATGAATATGCAAATATTTTCATTTCAAAAGTTTATCTACTATTTATAAGATGTCTCCAAAATCACTGAAAGACCATTTTCAATGCAGGTGCAATGTAGGCTTAGGTTTCCACATCACATTTGTGTAAGCCTAGATACATAAATACTAAGCTTTGAGGAATAATAATTTTTCCTATGTCCAAACATGTAAGCCCTGCAAACAGCCATGTTCAGTCAGGCAAGCTGGTGAAATTTAAGAAATCTAAAATTACTTGAGAAATTACTTATTATATCGTTTATTATTATTATCATTATTTATTATATTGTTTCAGCCGTAGATTACAGGCTGGAAACAAGAAATTTCCCTCTATGTTTTCTCTCATGTGGCATGCAGTTGTATGGGTTTCTAACATCTAAGTCCCTTAAATGAGAACCAAACACTGACAAAAAGGCTTAAATGATGAAAAGATGCATTTACTGAAACTACTTTTATTTTTGTATACATAGTAAAAACAGTATTAACAGTCAACACTTCAAAACAAGCTGAAGATTAGAAGAAAATGTGGTTTTACAATAATCTCTGAAAGTACAATCTGTAATCAAAGTATGGCACAAAACAGCCCATGTACAATCCATATTGTGCTTTCTGTGTTTTGGTTTTATCAGTGTAACAAAATAATTTATCCTCTTTAGGAACTATATTAATATTATGTAATACTGTTTTTTGCATCAACAAAATGATTGATTTAACCATTCATCCACTCTCGTGAATTTATAACACTACTTTATGCACTCTCCAAAAATCTCTTCTATTCTCTTTAAGTTTTATTATTGTACACAACTGAATTAAAGTTTACATCAAACAAAAACAGTAAAATCACACGAGGAAGCAAAAAAAAAAAAAAATCTCTATGTGAAACATGTTACTGCTTCTCCACTATTGTCTGATATAGTCAGTGCTGATTATTACAGTGCATGTAATAAAGACTGAGTGTGAAGTAACTCATTCATCCTTAAAATGTTACAACTAAAGAACAAGAGCAGTAATAAAAGCTGGGCTCATCACAGCTCAAATGTAGTAATTCTGCAGCATTAAATGGCACCTGAAATCTAATGTTTTCACCAGCCTTGAGTGAGAAAGCTGTAGCTCTGTACAGCAATCTATCATTCAAAGTGCAGTTTGACCCTGCCGGCTATACAAAAAACTACAAAAACGGTTCCATGCCCCATTTTTGTTTGGTAGCTGGAAGAAAACAATTGGCACTTGAGAGTAGATTTTGTTGGTTTGACATGGCGTTCTTTTCACAAAATATGTGAAAACTACAAAGGCAAAAAAAAAAAAATCAAATCCAGTAACAGTGATTGTATTAAAGGCACAACTACAGCATTTCTCAATGTTGAACAATCATGAGTTTTAAATTGTAATGACTGTTCACCCTGACAAGTCTCTCATAAACACTGTTGGTGTCATATTCAGCAACTTAGACACTAGTAAGGCATTCAACAACAGCATCATAAAAGCATATTTTGAAATGATAATAGGCTGAATTACATTTTGATATGGTGAGGTGAGTTAGTATAAGCAGTTAGATGGGGCAAAAAATACTGTCAACACATAAATTCAGCACTGTATGACTATCACCAATTCAACCATAACATCCTGTCACACCCAGGGCTTTCGATGGTTGATTAAAGTGTTGCTCATTATGGCACTAGAAGACATTTGTGAAGCTCTAACTTACGATGTTCTTCATTCAAACATTTCTATATTAACATTTACAAAGAAAATGAGAAGGACTTCTTATATTACAAAAATTAAAGTATCCAAAATATACAGCGTTTTTTTAAAATCTGATATTCATTCCCATCATACACTGAGAGGAATGTAAGAAGTTCAACACATCTTACACCGTATACATATATATATATATATACATATATATATATACTGTATATATAATGAATGCCATACTCTGAAGGTTTTTCAGGTATGGTAACAATAATGTGCACAGGTATCCCTCTAAACAGATTATATCAATAGAAAGTAATAATGAGCCATGAAAACATTCTGCAACATTTAGTTTAGGATGAAATGCAAATGAGACAAAGTAATAGTGAGTTGATTTAAATACTGTATGTTTTGCTCCTTTTATCTTGCTTTGATAATAGCTTAGCAGAGCCCCCCCGAGAGTGAGGTATGATATCCAGAAAACTCACATTTTATGGATCTCATAACCCTGGTCCCAAATCACCCTCTATGCCCTGTTATATAGTAATGACTCGCTACAATCTTAAAGTTTAAAGCAAGAGAAGAATCTAATGTAGGCAAACAGAGAATGAGGTGAGGCCACATCCTCTACACCTCTGGCTGGAAGGGTGTGTTTTGTTTATTTACGACCACCACAACTTGTGCTCTCCATCAGACCTGCAGCCTGTTGTGATTGATGTGAGCAGCAACAGTTGAGAAGTAGCCCTTCACACACACAGTGTTTTCAAATGAATGTCAAACTTTTTTTCTGGGTATACTGTGCCCAAGACCTGGAGCCCTCCATGAGTAAAACTAAGTACATACAGCACAGTATGTGCTGTATGTACTTAGTTTTAGTTTTAGTTTTTCAATTCTCTACCTGTCAATCCCCCCCCCCCCCCAACAGTAAAACATCAAAAACAGACAGATTTACAATTATAAAGGATATTCACAATTTTTTCTCTCTCCAAATCTCTATTTGTAATTCTGAAGGTTGCCGATGTACAAAGCTTCTTTCTAACCACCCTCTTCCTCCTTCTCAAGCTTGTGGGTCAGGTTTAGGTGTCAAACCAATATAGGTTCCATTTTGGGGATCATCCTTTTCCTTGTCATTGACTGGAGAGTAGGAGGTGTCGTCTTCAGCAGAGGTCTGTAGTGGTAGGTTGAGGATTTGAGGAAAAAAACAAAACATAACAAAACAAACGGTATTAGATTAAGGATAAAAAACAGTATTAAAACTCATCTCATTTTGCTTAAATCATCTTATTTCTGTTAATGTGTTAAAACCTGACACAATAAGTTTACTGTACGGCACCAGAATTATTTCAGAAAGAGTGAAAGTCATCTAGCTTCATACTGAAATATGGGATTAAAGATGCATATAGACCATATGTAATTCATAAAGTAAGACAGAAGATTGAATTAAGGAGAAATAATATAGATGATCAAAGCATAAACACTTACAGCATAGGTAGGCTTGGTAAACACAATGCGTTTAACTTCATTCTGCACAGAGACACACAGTGATAAACACACATGCACAGTGCCATTTGCATTAGTGTGTGGTTAAGCAACTCGATGAATTTCGCAAAATAATTGTCATCATTTATTGCCTATTAGCACAAAGCAAGCCAAATTGTAAGTTGTTAAGAATAAAATGAGCTGAGAAGAGGCGTCGTACCTTCTGCCTGCGGGCCCGCAACAGCAGGATGATGAAGACCAAGAGCATGATGACACCCAGTCCCACAAGGATGAGCGGGAAGTTGGACACTAGAGTGACGATAAGCAGCAGCTTCTGCACTCTTGCCGCGGATGCATCATCAATCACCACACTCTGTTTATTAAAAGACAATTTGAAAGATACATATGGAAAGAACATTTACAGCATCTTATATATAAAAAATCTTTCTAGTGCAGTGGTTCCCAATCTGTGGGCCCGAAGGTGGGCCGACAAATCATTTGCAAAACAGTACAATTTTGGAGAAAAGATGTATTTATATATAAATATATATATATATATATATATATATAGTGGTCTCTCTGCAAACAAACAAAAAAGAAAAATTGAGCTTCCCCTGCTTTCCGTTCAATCCTTATCAATGAATTATAAAGTGCTCTTAGAGGGCATTATTTGGCCTCCACATTGTTATGGGGTCGGGTCAGGTGTGTGTCTTTAATGATTCTTACCTCATTGAGGAACATAACAGGAAAGACGGTATTCAAATTTCTGGTTTTCCTGTTATGAGAACAATGGAAAGAATGATAAGCAGTCATATATTATACACACACACACACACACACACACACACACACACACACACACACACACACACACACACATCAAGACTATGGACATTGCTTGGCTTGTGTTTGGATGCAGAGACTCACGGGAATCCAGACATTCGGCTGAGCAAGACGTTAATCTGTGCTCTCTTGTTTGCTCGTACAATCACTCCAGTGGTCTGTGAGCAAAAAATAAAATGTAGAGTTAAATAAAGAACTGTATCACCAGAACAGACAACAAAATAAACTCTAGTACGAGTGGTGGAAGTATTCAGATTCTTTATTTAAATAAATAAGTATGGGTGTAAAAATAATCGATCACAAGTAAAAGTCCTGTATTTAAGAAAAAGTACTTTAAGGTAAATGTGCTTAAAGTGTCAAAGCAAAAGTTTTTGTTCTGTGAATGATATACTATTAGATATTATATTATCAGATGATTACTACTAATGTGTATAATGTCAACAAATATATTTGGTCAAGGTAGAGCTAGAGAAACTTTTTTGTCATGTTTTTTTTCTATATTATTCTTTATTGCGAACAACAAAAATTCAACCCTTCAAACTCTTAGTAAAAACAAGCAACGTTATAAATATAATAACTACAGCAACTATTATTATTATCATCTTTGTATAATATTACAAGTCTCTTAGGCAGTTTAATGTATGATAATGCATGATATATAGGATCATTACACAGTATGCTTTGTATTTAAAGACTTTAGTAGGAAAGATAAATGTAGTGGAGTAAAAATATCAATATTTCCCTCTGAAACGTAGAAGCAGTACAAAGTGGCATTAAATGGAAATACTCAAGTAAAGGACAAGTACCTTAAGAGTACTTAACGCAGTATTGGTGTACATGTACTTATTTCTTAAGAGTCTTAAAAGTACAATGAGGGTATTGATGAGGCCAACGCAGGGGATTAACTTCTGCACTAGTACGGACATGCCACTAGGTGGAGCAGCAGTATATCTTAATATAGCATGCCGTTCCTCTTCGTCACGCAGTTCGATGAAATGCTTTGCTTCTATATGAGTCACAGCTACAAAGATGAGTCACAGCATTAATGTTACTAATCATAGCTGCAGAACCAAAAAGTGCATTTAAGGCTGATAAACTGCGGCCTGGCGGCTTACCGGGTTAAGGTCGAGGAACGTTTGGTGATGCTCTCTTTGAGGGGACATTCCTTCAATGGCATCCGGGTATTGATCATCTGCCAGGTAGAAATGAGGAAAGGAGGCGACCACTGGGGCACCTGTGCGAGGAGAGGAGGATTCAGAGGAGAAACAATGAGGAAAAGTGGCCTCATGAAGCTGAAGAAAGAATTAATAAAAGACGCACATATATCTCTACTGTCAGTAAATGAGTCACAACAAAAGTGAAGTGAATGTCAACTGTGACAAATTGTGCGCTTTGTCCTCTGTGACAATGTCGCCCCATTATGGTTTAATGAGACGTGAAACATAATTATGACAAGAGGGACTTGAGCTACCACATGCCTCCATAACAAGGAATTACTCATTAATTTGGCTAATTCACACATTAATTGGTGATGATTATATTTTCAGGAATATCCTAATGAATATGGCAATCTGTAGAGCAAGGGCCTCTAAGGTCAGATGAGAACATCTGCTCTGTAAATGGAACCTGTAGAACAAGCATAAAGTTTCTTGTTCATAATAGTGACAACACCATGGTGGTGCGACATAAATATCTCCACCATTCCTGATACAAAGGATCGGTAATTAATCAAAGCAGCATTTCCTGTTGTTCGGTGCTTTTTGATGTAGGATCTTATCGAGACACAAGGGAGCCCTTAAGATATGATGACAAGATATAATCTGACCTTCGTTTTAGCACACAGGAAATGTTACTTAGGGTTGATCCTCCAAGGAAAATAAACAATAAGTACATAAAAGGACCACAAGCCGAACTTGTCGAACTACTTAATGACAGTGTCACTTATCCAGATATAGAATCATGTTACTTTTGCTAAGTTTCCTTCCTTATATTGTCTACAGGAGACATTGCGTTCCTACAATACCTTATTCCACAATAAGGAACAGGAGACACTCTTGGTTTGGTTCTACTTGTGCATTTTGTTTTCGACCTAAGTAAGTAATTCTGGAGGTCTGTGGTTTAGCAAAAAAAAACAAAAACAAACAAAAAACAAGTGGTTCAGCTCCACGAGAAGCACGTGTGTGTCTCGGCAGCGACAACGAAGTCAGATGGTGGCACAGTGAGAGGTGCTGATGAAGTGGGGCAGAGGTGACAGTTTTCCTGCTCTTGTGTTTGGCAACAGACGCTCGACAAAAAACACTGGACACCCGCAGTCACCTGAGAGGCTTTTCCCATTACAACCCACAAGGTCAACGTAGCGCAAACACACAACACACACACATATTTGTATTGGTATACCTTTAAGCACCATTAATCCTTGTGTTCATTCCTTAGCGCCGGATCCTAAACTTAACCCTCTGCACACTCTTGAAATCCACCTAATTTCTCAGCGTGCTTTGATTTTTTTTTTTTAATGAAAGCTCACCAATGTTTCAGCCCATTTACTACAACTCTTTTTTCATTCTGTTCATTTCAGTACACTATGGAAATCGTCCTGAAAACCAAACTGAAGCAAGTCTTTGCATGTTGATACTGAAATAAATACAAAGTAATAGTTGCCGCAAAGGCATTAAAAGTGCATTAAAAAACTACAACACAAAATATGCTACAACACTGGTATTGTTCTTTCACAGAGAATGAGACATGAGGGACAATTGGACAGTGAACACAGGCACTTAGATAATGCCAGGTCATATTCAAGGCCAGAATCAGGTGACAGGGCTTATCGCCCCCTCAGCTACTGGGCCAGTCATGGTCAGATGGCGCCTGAGGTGTGGAGAGGGCTGGAGAGCTGTGTCACATGGGTCATTTAGGGAGTATTACCAGTGGTGATAGCAGGAGAGAAAACAAGAGGAGGACTTGACAGATGTGAGAACGGTGTTTTGTATTATCTTTTAAAAGTGTGCTGGGTAGAAAGTAGTAAAACCAGGCCAACAAAAATCAAAGATCTTAGGTTCTTTTCAAAGTAAAGTTATGTGTTGCCTAAAAAGGTAAAAACCAGAGTGTGAGTACAGAGGCTTTCTGTGGGATTCACAGGAAAAAATGTTGATGTTGTGGCAGAAATCATAAGTAAGTTGTGTCAGCAGAACTGCGGGCTGTGAGGGAGGTCGCGTGACAGCACAGTGTGTGTGTGTGTGTGTGTGTGTGTGTGTGTGTGTGTGTGTGTGTGTGTGTGTGTGTGTGCAAGAAAATACTCTGACATTTACCTTTCCGACAGGGACTGACTTTAAGAAGGCCAGTTCCCAGGCACTCCTGTGGGGTGACGCAGAAACCCTCGTTGGCTGGGTTCTCCTCTTTGCTGGCCAGGACAGAGCGTGGTGGTGTGAAGCGATACGCTGGGATTCCGTTCACCTCCACATCTTTCTCAAACTCCATGTAAATCGTCCTGGAGAGAGGAGCACGCAAGAACGTCACATAACAGAATAAAGTTCAAAGGAGAACAATTTAAAGAACAATTCCACTGCGACTGGAGAATTTTCACAGTGTCACGCCTTTTTTCCAGTCTCTAAAAACACATACGGCTCTATAGAATTCGTGCAACAATATTTTTTGTAATCCATTAATATCCAAACCATTTCCAGGTAGGCACACACACATACACACACACACTTGTTTGAAAAAGTCATTACATTAGACAACAGTAGTTTGCTGCATAGAAATTATGAATAAAAAATAAGACCGTAAAAGTAAATCCGCACATGCTGTACGGGTGTTGGCCCTTGGTCCACGGTGGATCGTCAGACGCTGGAGGATTTGTACTGACTCTACCATTGTGCTGAAATCCAGTTGAGAGTCGTTTTTTAAAATGATGTTGACCTTTCTTTTGTACTGGGAGTGGAAAAATTGTAACCGATTATACTTAAATGTTTGTTGCGCTTTTACATCTTCCAGGAGAACTACATTATTGTGAGCAGCTTCATCCTTGTTCTATGTATCTGCAGTGTTCTGTCCTGTAGAGGGAATCCCGATGATTCTCAGCGAGAACAAAGGAGCCTATATAGTGTCTGCCAACTGGCCTGGAGGATGCAGCCTTTAGCTACGCAGCCCACCAATTGTGCAACAATACTGTACAGACCTTTCCCTCGACCTTCGTGAAAGAAGCCAAGTAAAAAGCCTGATGTGTTTCTCCACTAGAATTGGGCTAAAAGCCTCTGCCTTGTACTGTAAGGCATGAGAGACTTGCACTATGAATTAATTTCAGATAAACTAAGCAGTGTGCAGGGGATAAGATTTGGAAAACAGCTTAAAAGGTGGCGTGAGATACTTCTTTTATACTGCAGCTGCAAAATGTTTTGATTAAAGGGAAAAGGGAAAGAGGGGAGATATAAAAATGTACAATTTTAATAATGAGTAACATCTGAAGTTCTTAACTTTGTATGTAGCAGAAGAACAGGAGTCGATGTTTTTAGTTTTATACATAAAAACCCTGTTTGTGTTGTACGCCACTTATAGTTTGTTTTATTTGATTTCATTTTAAATTCATTGTCTTTGCATGTCCAGGTGCCATGTTGGATTGAATCTTTTAAATGTTGGTTGTTTTAAGACACAAGAAAATCAAATCATATCATCTCTTTTAAACTAAAGATCACGCCTACAGGAAAGATTAACGTGCGGCAAAAGGCGAGTTGGCATCTGAACAATGACACCTGTCCACAATTCGTCAAAATCTTGTGGTTTTTTTTTTGGCTCAGCTGCCACTCACCGGACCAAAGGGTCAACACCCTGTCGGGTCACAGATGGGAATTCTGGCACTTTTTCTGTCCTGCAGATCAGCCCCAGATGTCATTAAACTAAACACATGTTTAAACCCTACTCTTACTGAAGGACTGAAAGTCCCCTTGTCAAGCTGTGTGTGTGAAAGGTGAACATACATGATTTAATTGAACACTTCCTCTTCAGATTATGGTAAAAAGTACAGGAAACAGGGAGGGTGCCTTCCCCTTGTTCACAATAACAGACAGCCATGATGGGGCCACCAGGCAATGAATAAGTAGGTTAAAGTGTTCAGTAAACATTTGGGAGAGGGGTTTTTGACACGCGTCCAATCAGAGTCAAAGGTACAACCATGCCACTGCAACAGATTCTTTCCACCCTCAACAAAAGGGGAAGATGTCTGCAGGAGCTTCTGTTTTTTTAGGTCAAGGTTATTTTCTACATTAGACGCCCTCATCATGAGCAAGAGGGAGGACACAGTTTCATCGGGAAAGTCACATTTTGTAACAGCTAAGGCTTAGCATTTGCGAAATGAAACCCTGAGGAACAATTCATCGGTAAGTCACTGTGTGAGAGGTTGTTCTTTTTAACATTCAGCAAGCTTTCAAAGGAGACATTCTGATGTTGAAACCCTCCAGAGGAAACATTATAAATCTCAATGTCCTCAAGAGTATTTGGGCTGAAAACCTCTGGCAGAAGTAACTGGTAGAAAAACCGGCTGGATGCATACGGGCCATTTTACATGGAAAACATAATTAAAGTTGTTTGTTCCAGCTGGTCCAGAACAGAATCTTCCCACGGATGTGACAATGTGCTTAGCACAAATCAATACTTGTCAACAACCAGAAAACTGTTTTCATTCTCACTCCCACAGGTTTTATTCCCCTTCCTCACTCGCTCGCTTTCCATCTCCATGAAACTCCAACAACCAACATTGCTCTTCAAGTAAGCCTCTCCATTCCAGTTTTCAGGAAACTGACATGTCAGTCTTTCAAAAAGCCCTCATAATATAGGCAGTAAAGCTTTGGTGAGTAAACAGGTCACCTGCGGCAAGTGAGCTGGATGTTATGTTAACAATCCATGGGATACAAGGCCTGTGAACATACCATACCCGATACGAAAGCCCCCGTCAAGCTCTGTGGTGGGCTGAGTCCAACATGTTCAGTTCAGGTCATGAACCAGAAATAGACATCACTTCATCATGACTTACTACACCACCCTCAGGTAAAATATTAAACAGTATATGGGACATGAGGTAACAGTGGGACAAATGGGAGGAAGTATATCCTTGCTGTTGCTATAACTCCAGATATAACTTTAAACACCCAACAACACATCGAATGAGCAAGTTCTATTCGAGCCTTACCCGACCCTTCAACACAGTGGCGCTAAATGCTAACATGAGCGTGCTAACATGCTGATGTTTAGCATAATGTTTAGTATGTTCACCATCTTAGTTAGCATGGTATCATTTACTTATTAACATGAAACAACATGAAACTCATTTTTGCAGGTATTAACTTTGGTCAAGTATTGGAAAAAATAAAAATTTGACCTGCTGGTGGCGCTAGAGGAAAAGTGACCAGGATCAACTGTAAGTCATTAGAAATCATCCTCTGCACGCCATGGACATCTACAACAAATTTTATGACAATGCATCCCATGGTTGTTGAAATATTTTCAGTCTGGACCGAAGCGGTGGACCAACCAACTGATCGGCTAACCAATCAACATCGAGCCATCTATAGAGCCAAGTGTGAGGATTTACAAATCTTAAAGTGACAGCAGGTGGTAAGCAGGCTGCAGGAAGGCACTATAGTGTTAAACTGTACCTGCAGAGGTCTGGGGTGAAGATATAAATGCGTTCGTTCTTGTCCAGCAGGGGATGGAAAGCACTTCCATCTGATCCATTGATGCTGTTGCTTTGTTCAGTCGACCAGAACGTCAGCTCACTGCAGAACAACACATTATCACAACCATGAGCATTTGACGCGGCCAAAGAAGTTTTCTTTTTTTATATGATTAAGACAAAAACAGAATAAAAACAATGCTTTGGTTCTTCCTGGCTGGATATGTCTTCAAAACCCCCACTTTTAAAGTCAAAATCATTATCAACTCCATCTTAATAATGGTAAATTACAATTAAATGTTTTGTTGATTATTTATCTCAAAGTTGAAAAAAAAACAGATTCCCAGGAGTAGGAAGGATAATTACTGGGGCGGCCAAAAGGTCACTTAGAAACCATTATTAAGGCATTCCCCGTATCAGGATGTCCTGCCCTGGGTTCTGTGCTACCAGCCCAGACCAACAGGCAAACAAACAGGCAAACAAACAGGCAGACACAGAAGACCAGTACTTTGCTATTATTAGAAAAAAAAAAAGGTAGATTTGAGAAACCTTTTGATCCAAAGGTTACCCAGTGATGTTTCATCACTGTGGATAAACACAAACTTATTCTTAACACACAAAAATTTATGCGCATGACAAAATAACTTCATTGTTTTTCATTTCAATAGAAATCAAGGGTGAAATCCACTAAATTATCAATTTAAACTTGTATGCCCTGAAAATCTGTAGTCTTCAGAACTGTGTTACTCTACTGTGCTTTTATTTTTATTTTCCATTTATTGATGATTGTGTATCTTACCTTTTGAATTAATGTATGGACTGACAGATGATATATACATGTTTAGTTAGTCTTTTTAAATGTAGTTAAAGTATAAAGATTCAGGTATTTTGTACATGCAGTGACTGGGTCCCTATTCACAAGCTTCTGAGGCTTATTGGGGTGTCCCATTTTCACCCGTTGCTATTATCATGTTTGTATGCTTTTACTTGTATTTTATTCTGATTGGTGTGAAATAAATGAAATGAATGAATGAAGAGAGAGAGAGAGAGAGAGAGAGATTGCATCAGTGCTACCTTTGGCCTTTCCACGTTTCCACCCGTCCATAATCCATGTAGTTCTGCACCCCGGTGTGGTAGACAAACTCCCCGTCGTTACTTCCATTTTTCTAAATAGATCCAAACATTTAAGTCATTAAAATGTGTTCGTGTTTACAAGCACACTAAAATTCCTTATCAGAAAAAACATTTCGTAGAGCTGTACATGCCTTGTACATGAGACCAAAGATCTTTTCCACTTCAGGTGAGCTTTGAGAGATACGGGACAGCAAGGGATCTTCATAACCCCACAGCAATTCATCCACAGTGCGAGTAGTGAAGAGCTGGCTCCCAGTAGCGCTGATCATGAAATTTACCATGGTGACCTTCATGAAACCTTTCGCCTTGCTCATTACAGCCTAGAGATGGGAAGTAGAGCAGAGTGGAGAGGAGATGTTAAAGAATGCAGGGTGACGTGGCGGCCATTGAGGTCGGACTGAGAAAACAAAATGCAGAAGGAAATCATACAAGTTACAGGACACATACTCCACTTTCCCCCACTTGTTTGAGACATTTAGTTCATGACTCACCCAAAGAGGGATGTTGACAGTGGTGATGTTATCCTCGGCTGGGTCTCCCACAGACCTCTCCCTCATGAACACAAAGCTTTTGGTGTTGTATGCGGACACCATTGTGTCATTTTCCACCATGCTCACATTGTCCTTGTACCTGTACTCCCTACGCAAACACAATAAGACGTAAGATTATCGTTTCTTTTTTTCTCATTACGCTGTCTAGAATTGTTCTCGTGTTACAAATGAGCATCACAGACCAGTTAAAAACTCAAAAAGTACAGCACATAAATTTAAGTTAACATAACATATTAATTTCAACACAACGGCCGTTTGAAATTAGGGAACTCAAACAGTGACAGTTGCAACATGTGAGCATACTAGAAGTGAAAATGATCTACATCAAAACAGCTTCTTGTTAGGACTCACATAACTGTCTGATCTGATGACATTAACCCGGTAACTGTTCATTTTTCTTAATACTTTGTAATATTCAATTAAAATCAGAGTGACCGAACAAGTGAAAGCAGAGAGGCAGAAGCGTGGTGTCCTTTTTCATATTGTGCTCAGCAAATAACAGGCACTTTTTAAAAGCAGGAATGAGCCTGACAAAAAAATATCATCCTATCTCCACCACTGTGAAATCTAACTTTGTGGTGTGCAGTGTGGTTCATGTAGCCCAAATTTAGAAACAAGCAACTCAATAGACTCAAGAAATATGAACAGCAACACAGTCCTCTAAAGTAGGAGGGCATTGTGTTAGAACCCTTCTATGCTGCATGTTGTTTAAAATTTCCTCTCGGGGCTTTTTACTACAGTGACCCCAGAGGAGACAGTGGTACTGGCGGCTGACCTACAGAGATCGCCTCCGACACACACAACATCAACCTTCCTTGCGGCGTCCTGTGCACTTCAGATGTCCTACCTGTATGTGTAGGGTCCAACCTGGTCGAGCACTGGCTTGGCCCCTTCAAGGAACTCCTGCACATTGGTCACATTGAAGAAGAAGAACTCCATGTAGACAGGAGGGGGAGGGGTTTTCCACGACGCAAACACACGGCTGCCCTCTACCAAAACAATCTCCTGTTGACACAGAAAGTGCATATCTCAGTTTAAATCTAGACACAGTTCATTCAGACACATATGTTTGTGAAAGACAAATTCTCATATCCAAACGAATGCATTACTTACACTCGTATTAACATAAAACACAACATGCTTGATATAGACTATTGTACAGGGCGCTGCTTATAAGTGACGTTTTTAATACCATCTAGAATACAATTTAATCCATCTTTTAATGTTTGATAGACGCCAAAGAAAAGCCAGAAGGGACGATAAGGCCCAGAATTATTATTACTAGAACTAAGTGCATGCATTAATGGACATTTTTATCACATTTTTATTGCTAATTCCCAGCAGTATACAAAAATCGTTTCTAAAAATATTGTCAACTGATCATTTAACACAACCTGAAACTGGATAAGCAGCAGAGAATTGGTGGATAAATGGATGGGTAGATAAACAGATAGACAGAAAAAACAACTAATTAATTTAAGTTCCAAATATAAATTTTACAAGGTCAGAGTCACAATGGTATTGGTGATTTTACAGACTGTTTTAAAATACAAAAACATTTTTGAAGTAATGTTTTTTGACCTTTTTAAAGGAAAATTAAGACACAAAAACGCAACCTCTAAAGGCCTTTCTTTCGATGAAACTGAAATCAAAGAGTATAAATAAACACTAATTGATGATGCATTTACAGCAAAAAGTGCTTAGCAACAGCAAACACATGTTTGAAGATTTCGCAATCTCTTCCTAGTAAAAACCACCCAGAGAACAAAAACATCCTTGGGGGGTCGTGGAGGGGAGCTGCTGTCTGGGAGTAAGACAAGCGCACTGGCTGCACACATGAATGGTATTAGGGGAGACCCCATTGTCAGCGGTTGCCACTGACAATGGGCTACACTTTGGGGGGAGAGCCGCTGACAGATCATGTGATGCAGAGAGCTGGATGCCCACTGGTTGCGCGGGACTGCGACCTTAATCATCTGAGCCACATTCCTGAGGACCAAGCCTTATGAGGCCCCGATAGTGCAGCACAGGCACAAATCTGTACTATCCTGTTTCATTACACATGATGCTAGAAAGTTCTCACAGCAGATATCACTGCCTCTGGAGGACAACGATTGCCTGATTCGCTGCAGGAATCTTTTGAGGAACTCAAAAAAAAAACAGAGTGGGAGAGGCAGGAAGGGGGCAAGAGGATTAGTGTTTCTTTTTAAAGACACATCAAGAGGAAATCTCACTTTGGCCTAATTGTGTCAGATTTGTGTTAAAGTTAAAAGCAATACTTTAGCATGAAATAAGCCCAGAAAAAAAAAAAACAGCCGAACAAACCAATGAGTCCCATTACTTCAGGGGAGTACAGACCCCCCCCCCCCCTTTGGGGTCCCTTCTTGTTTAGAGACAAAAGTTTAGCTGAGTAACCAAGGACAATAAAGCTGTCATCTTAGATTGAGGAAGGGAGAGCATGGTCTTTCTATGTCATCCTTTCATGCCTCGAACAACCAACAGTATGGTAAACTCCCCCACCCCCCAGCATGCTACATGAAATACCGCGTGGAAAACAGGAACAGAGGAACCCTCTTATCACAGCGCTTACCCACCACCACTATTACACCACTCCCTATATGAAAACACATGTAGCAGGTGAATACACAAATACACAATCTGCTACTGCTTTGATGTAGACACAGGCAAATACATGGATATGAATAACACTGGGCACAGCAAGAAGCTATTCATTAAAGCCTCCAGTCGTGGTGCACAAGCTTTGCATACTCTAAATGGGTTTGTCTCAATAGTGGCCAAACACCTCACAGAGCTCTACCAGCTGAACTGTAGTCCTGCCCTGCTGCTACTGAACCAATCCAAGTCATATTAAGGTCCGTTTAGTTGTACATTGACCATGGAGGAGTCCTAATTTTCACTAACACACTCAATGGAAGGCAATGTGAGATCTTGGATGGATTACATTAATTCATAGGTATGATTAAGATATGTTTCTCATATTCATTTGTGACTACATCCCCAGAACATGAATACAAATGGGTGATGTGACAAGGTATCCTGTTGCTTCAATCCAAAAAAAGTCAAAAAAAAAAAAAAAAAAAAAAAAAAAAAAAAGATACCATGAAATTTGGTGTTGATATTCATGTTTCCAACGACACCACGGCTTTTCCTCTGGTGGCACTGTCAAGATAAACCACACTTGTATTTCAACTACTGGTTGAGCTCCAGGAATATAACCAAATCATTCATATGATGTATAATTTTGCACTTCACCTGTTAGAGGTGGTTTGCTTGTCTTAATACTTTAATCAAAATTCACAATAAAATGTTTGTGTCAAAGCTAAAACTCAGCAAGACAACCAGCAAGGGGCCGCTGGCCGCTATGTCTAATCTAGTCTATGTAAAATTACCAAATTCCTATTCAGAGACAAGTAATTTTTCACCATCAGCCCATCAGCAGGTCATTGCATACTGACCCCGTTTGACTCACATGGAAGCTGAGTGTGGCTGCCAGTCCAGTTTCCCAATAAACCTAGCAGTGTGAAAGAGGCTTAGCACACAAAGAGAGTCTGCTGCTGGGAGGGTTTCCATGGAATGAGATCTTTCACACTGGCGCAACCAGGGTAAAGGGGGTGGGGGGGTGGGGTAACTTGATACGACTGAAATAAATCATCCTGCCAAGCTAGCAGATAACTATGTGTATCTGCATGTGAGCGGCTACGCATGTGCGCCACACCCACACGTACATTTTATCGTGTTTTTCTATGAAACTGAAAATGAACTTGACACTGTCGAGAGGCAGAAACTGCGCTGCAAAATCAAGGCTTGGGTACTGTCCCCTGTCTGTCTCACTCCTGCATGTATAAAACTATGTAAGATCTTTCAACAAGCCAGGCAGCATTCGTTTTAAAGATTCGGCATTGTCTAGTTTGCAACTGATTCAAAACTTGAAATGTCTTCGTACGCTTAAAAAACAGTCTGTGAAATTCATTCCAGGTTCATCATAAATAAATTGCTCACCTTAGGTAAATGCAGAACAAAATTACTGTTTGTCTACCTTGGAAAATGCCAGCATGTATTACTGTATCAACCCCTGCTGTAATCTTTTTTAAACACTGTAAACTTTGCAGCAGAACACATTTAAACACTGTAATTCAGGACACCAAGATCATGCCCCCAGTAGTATCTTCCAAATGTGAGCATATGTAGAAATGACTCCTGTTGAAATGGTTTCTCAATTAAACCGCCAGTCACCCTCTTACACAGCATCACTCAACCTTCCCCCGAGTCTCTTGACCTCAGTAGTTTTATGTCCTGGGGCATGGTAACACCCCTACACATTGTTGCTTTGTGCCTGAGAGGCAACAGATTGCACTTTTCTGAGGGGTCCATACAAGTATCTTCATAAACCACTACATAAAGAGCCATTCAGTTAGAGCCAAACACCTGTAGAGCCCCACCAGACTGTCCTAAGGCTAAAGACTTTGAGTAAACGGTTTTCTTTTTTACTGTAACTGACTAGCCTTGAGGTACATGTAAACATACATGTAAATGTGATCGTTAAACACAGCGAAACTGCCAGTGATCATTTGTTTTATTTTATCAGTTACTCCAACAACAGGTAAGTCCACTTTGTCTTTTTGTTGTTGCCTTCAAAGACACTCCAATTAGAGGAAATTATGTTATTTGTAGCTTTGAATGTATTGAAATGGTGAGGTGACATTATTTCATCCACTGATCAGTAATTTGAACAAAATAAACTGCAGACCTCATCCCTGCGTAACCTTATCTGTAGCCAATGATTAACTCCCTGCTACTGAATTTTTGGGAGCTATTTACTTTTCTCCACTTTGTGCAGCTATTTACCTAAGACACCTCTATAAAAGTCAAGTTTGCTTTAAATTATACAATCTCAGAATTAGGACCCAACTCCCAGCGCCAGAAGACCTTGTGAATATGTCCCCCTGACCTCTTAAGTCAATACTAAGCCTCTCTGATAAAAGCCATTCGACACCTGTTATGGAGAAACTAGTTTGATATGAAAATAAGGATGAAGGTGTGCCATATGATAATACTGAGTGTGGGCCAATGGTGCTTTTATGCCTGCACTGTTATCAAAGTAAAGTGAACCTTCTGGGAACGTGTTTCGCTTCACTGTTTAACAGTCTAAAATATAACCGGAAATCTCTGGATTGATACTTAGATTGATTAAAGGTATGGAGTGCGTTGCTGTAAATGAAAAAAAAAAATGAACTGAAGGATCCACAGCACGATAACTGATGCTGAGCACTAACTGAACTGAGCTGCTGTAAAAACATGGCGGTGCAACATGGTGGGCTCTATGGAAGAGGGCCCTCTCCTTACATACCTATGAAGGACTCATTCTAAGCTAACGAAATCACAAAGACTGTTAGTTTTAGATGATATTACACTAATGAAAACATAATTATGAATATTATATTCCATTTCTGTCTTTAGAGCCCCCCTAAATTCTATTTAGTGGTCCTTTAAATGTGAGCAATTTCTGTTTTTCCCAGTTTTATATAATTGTTAACTGAATATCTTGGGATTTTGAACTGTTGATCAGACAAAATGAGAAATTTAAAGACGTCACCTTGGGGTCAAAGAAGTTCTAATGGGCACTTTTCACTATTTTCTGACATTTTATAGACTAGACGATTTCACTGAGAATGAGAGAGGTCATTAGTTGGAGCTCTGTCACATCAGATTCTGTGTCATTCACAAAAACAAGTTCTTGTGTTTACATGTAATACCGTGTTACATGGTGTTGGGAATCTCTGCATGACACTTTGTACAACAAGCCACACCCATGTGTAAACGTGTGACCAGTTTGACTTTATTCAAACTGCATCTTTGCTAATTGATATCACAGCAGTGTAGACAAAACTTCCCACTGAGTTCGGACATTTAAACATTTTCTTGTTATGTACTGATTCAGCATTTTCTTTGACATGTGTTAAAAATACCAACCAATACTGAGAACAAGCAATACCAACCCAGCCCTTACTTATTCTTAGCTGTGGAATTTGCCTTTGAAACTCCTCCTGTCATAATGACAAGTATTGAAGGCAGAAACATACATCACTGGACCATTAGGAATTCCTTTGGATCTACCATCTGCTGGTAACAGCCCTTCAGATAAAGTCTTTCAACACTGTGCACGCTAATGAACCACAAACTGTATCTACACTTGTTATCTAAGAAACTGTGGGAAAAAGGAAGAGCTCATTGCACAGTATGAGCTACTAATCAGAGCCCCAAAACAAGACAACAAAATAACATTTGGTCTGCTGCTGTAATTTAGTTTTACTTGTCCTGTCATTACTGCATTTTAAATCAGAATACCAAGTACAGCTGAAACAATTTGTTGTTTAAACAATCTCCGCAAAAATAATTGGCAGATATTTTGATAATCCACTAATCGCTTCAGTTATTTTTCAAGCAAATGTGGCGGAAGAAATTCCAAAAATTCTTTGCATATCATTATTAACTCAATATATTTGGGTTTGGGAAGTGATGATGAACGGACAACCCGAAAAACAACTTACTTCCATACTTCTGACTATGCAGAGGCATAAAAATGTAATTGTGTAGTGACAGGCATGTTTTCACTATGGTTTGACACTTTGCAGACTGAATTATTCATCAATCAACCTCTTGACAGATTCATCTGTAATGAAAATTACCTTAAGTTGGTGGCCCTAGTCCCAAATTTCTGGTATGATAGAATGAATTGGCAATCTAGTCAGCGTTAATGGTCTGCACTGAGCACAGCCAAAAAATAAATAAATAAAATAATGAACTTTCAACCTCATCATCTACAGTTTGCAAACAGTACAAGGTCTCAGGCCACTGCAGTAACCTTTTCAGTAGCACTTTCTGATAAGGCACCCTTTACAAAAGGTTTATAATTTATAAATAATGGCTTTATTAATGCTTAATAAATCATTCATTCATTTACTAATACTTCATAGCTCAGTTATGAGCCATTAATAAGCGCAACATTTGGGTTGCCAGGTTGTGGAAAATCCTCCTCCAGCATGATACTTTTGTCAGTATAGATAGCTCATTAATTCAACAGGCAGACCCCTCGCAAGGACTGTTGGACCACTCACCTGTGAGGAAACAGCTGCAGGGCTTAGTGGAGAGTGAAAATAATGGTTAACCGCAGTCCTATTTCTACTTGTCAACTATAGGCTACTTGTTGTCGGCTCATTCAAAGAGGAAATACATGAAATGAATCATTCAAACTGCCTTACATATACACATCTGCTAACTGAAGTGATGAGGATGAGCGGGGGGGGGGGTTTACCTTTTTGAGGCGGTTGTGCATAAGAGTGCGGAAAGTTTGAGCCACAAATAAGCCAATCCCAATCACCAGCAGGTGGGCGCAGATGATCCCGACCACATAGACCGCGCAGGATCTTCGTGTCATGTTGGAGGATGGATGGAGATTTCAAGTCTTCCGACACAAATCCTAGAAAAGGCCTCCTAACTGCACGTAGGCTGTGAAATGAAGAGCTCCGACCCTGACTTCCCCGCCGCTTTGCTTTGTTTTGTTGAAAGGTTGTAATAAAGTTTGTTCAGGGTGGTTACAAACTGCACACTCTACCCGGACGAGCGGCTAAGTAACGGTAGGAGATGTTCAGTTCAGCCCTGACGAGTTTCCGAGTTACAAAGAGCTCCGGGTACGTCTGTTTACTCGTGGTTAATAATGAAGCCGTTCACTTTGACAACCACGAGGTCCTTGCAATCACTCAGAGACGGCGTCCTACAAGCCGCCGTAATAAGACAATAAGAAATGTGCCACGGAGTATTTGTAGCGGTTGTGAAGACGCTCCCTCCCTCCGAGCGAGGACAGCGCTGATTGGTCGCGGCTGCTTGAGCACTCTCCGAGAAGCGGGCGAGGGTGGGGCGGAGGAGGGAGGAGGTATGAGCGACATGGGTGAGTATATGGCGATGTTAAAGCGCCTCCGCTTGCAGCAACTTCAAGGACACAACTACTTACTTTGTGTAAAGTTTATGCAGGGGTGGAGAGGGATGGTTACTCATCTTCTGGTGACAAAATCACAGTGTAGAAATAGTCCACTACAAGTAAATGTCATGCATTCAAAAATTTACACTGGTACAAAAAATATTAGCATCAAAATATACTTAAAGTAGCAGAAGTAGAAACACTTATTATGCAGAATGGCATCTTTCAGAATAATATATATTATGTTAATGGGTGGCAGTAATTTTTAACAAAGTAAAGGTGGAAAATATCACAGGGCAGAGATACTCTGTTAAAAGTAAAAGTCTTGCATTCAAAATTTACTTTTGTGAAAGTAGAAAAGTCTCGTCTCGTCTCGCGGGGGCAGCAGCCTCAGCAGAAAAGGTCCAGACGGCCCTCTCCCCAGCCAGTTCCTCCGGGAGAATCCCGAGGCGTTCCAAGGCCAGCCGAGAGATATAATCCCTCCAGCGTGTCCTTGGTCGATCTCGAGGTCTCCTCCCGGTGGGACATGCCCGAAACATCTCCCCAGGGAGGCATCCAGGAGGCATCCTCACTAGATGCCCAAACCACCTCAACTGGCTCCTCTCGACATGGAGGAGCAGCGGAAAAGTATTAGCATAAAAATATACTTGAAGTACCTAAAGTAAACATACCTGACCACCCTTCTTTTCAAGATATTTGGCAGGTTAAGTTGTTCCAAGCAACTAGGGGGACTCCCCACAGCTTCGTCTGTGATTTTAAGGCTCAGAGTCTTTTGTGACCTCACGTGACCCCAGACTGATGATGCTGAGCTCAAGTCCCTGTGGTTGCTAGACAGGAAGCATAGTGTGACATAGAAGTATGAAGGACCATAAAGTACAAGTACCTCAAAATCAACCTTGAGTACTTAACTAAATGTGTTAAGTGACATCACTGTGCCTCTGATAGTGCAGAACTTTTTCACAAGACATCAGCTCAGGAACAGAAATTATTTATTTTTTATTTTTTTCCAGCAGTCACAGCCAGGCTGTCATGTAAAGACACCGTGCGACATACGGTACTCTTATTTGGACTGTCACGCTTTACATAATGTCTGGAAATTACACGTTTCCCCCGTAAACGCAGCGCACACTAATCTCTAGCAACTGAAGTCAAGGCAACAAGAAAGTCAACAAGCAACAGTTCATGTGCTCTCTCTCGATAGACACTACATCTGTTGCTGTGATGCCTCTGTTAGCGTAAACCCAACTCCTCTGTGGGCTGCTTTGTGTCAAGAGACTTTCACCTTCCAACCACAACCAGCACAAGAAAGCACTTTGAAGAGGTGTATGTGGTGGGTTCCTTCTACACTTTGGAGAACTCAAGTGGTGGAAAACAATACACATATTTACTTCCTGTATGCTAAAGTACAATTTTGTATTTCCATCTTCTGCTACTTTATACTTCTACTCTGCTGCATTTCAAAGGGAAATATTGTACTTTTTACTCCATTACATTTACCCGACAGCAACAGTTAGGCCTACTACTTACTTCTCAGAGTAAGAATTTATGCAGAACTTTAGTATTTTTACAACTTGTAATGGAGTGTTTTAAAACATACAACCTATAACCTTACATACAACAGAATATACAATCAGATATCAGTTTATTAGGTACACCTAGCTAAAACTAATGTTTACCCATCACCAACTCATCACATCTCTGTCCAGAGGGGAGAAGCTCAAACGCTTCATTTGGAGAATGTAGGCAACGATGCAGAATGACATATACATGCTGTATAATGGCTTTATTAAGGCTTAATAAATCATTTACTAATACTTCATAGCTCAGTTATGATCCATTAATAAACACGATGTTTGGGTTGCCTGGTTGTGGAAAATCCTCCTCCAGCATGATAGTTTTGTCAGTATAGATAGCTCATTAATTCAATAGGCAGACCCCTCTCAGGGACTGTCAGACCACTAACCTGTAAGGAAACAACTGCAGGGCTTAGTGGAGAGGGAAAATAATGGTGAGCCGCAATCCTATTTCTACTTGTCAACTATACTTGTTCTCGCTTCATTTAAAGAGGAAATGCATAAAATGAGTCCTTCAAACGGCCCTACATTCACACATCTGCTAACTGAAGTGATGAGGATGAAAGTTTTTTTTACCTTTATGAGGCGGTTGTGCATAAGAGTGCGGAAAGTTTGAGGCATAATTATGGGAAAACCCAATGAGAAGCAGGTGGGTGCAGATGATCCCGACCACAAGGACCGCGCAGGATCCTCGTGTCATGTTGGAGGATGGATGGAGATTTCTAGTCTTCGCTCACAAATCTTAGAAATGGCTTCCTAACTGCACGCAGGCTGTGAAATAAAGAGCTCCGACCTTGACAATGTAGAATGACACAAGCCTTTGAAATTGCTCTCTCGGTCATCTCACACTGTGTCACAAGCCAGGAAAAGAGGTGCGTTTTAAGAAGAGATTTGAAGACAAGCAGTGAAAAGGCCTGCCTACACTGTAAAAGGTCATACCTATGCTGACTTGAATTAAATTAGTGTGGTTTACTTATTTCTCACTATCCTGTTGATTCAACTCATGTAATGTGATTAATGTACTGTTTTCACCTGAAGAAGGTATAAAACTTCAGTTCACGTGAGTAAACTGGACTTGTAACTTTGTGTTCCTGGAGTTTTTATTCGGGATTAGTGGGTGGAGTTTCCCAGCATGCTCTAGGGTAATGTGTTTGCAGGCATAAATTGAGTGGATTGTGTTCTGGATGTTAACTGTGCATCATGACTGGTATTACTGTTATTGACAATTACTCTACATTGTCTCTAGTAACTTTAAATCCCTTTTAGGATAAAGCATGTTAAACCATGAGTGAAATTAGTTGTACAATAAATGAGGCCCCTGGAGGTACATTTTATTTTAACTATAGTCTATAATACATTTGCTTTATTGCAGTTGCAAACAGTCTTGTATCATTGAATATTTCCATTTGTTAATGTATACCTTGATCATTACTTAAGATGCTCAAAATTGTATTTTCTTATGTACAAAAATAATCCTATGAACCTCTTGATCTTTGTTGTCCTTACTTGATTTATTGAAGGCAATCAGTTGCTTAAACTCTACTGAGTAAACTTTCCACACAAGTCAGACTAACTTGTTTTACTTAAGTTTCTACCACTTAAGGGCCAGTTAACTTTAGTTGCCATTTTTAAGTTGCACAGTTACATTTTAACTAAACTGAACACATGGATATGAAGTCACCATAACTTATACTAATAGCTATATTTAGTTAGATTAGTTAGGTCAACGTGTCACATTTTACAGTGTAATGTGTAAAGGCAAATATGACACAGATCAGGAAGCTTAACACTTCTTCTAAGTGATGCAGCCTGTTCTTATCATCTGCTGTCAGGTCTAACTATTAATACATAATACAATCATTCTGTCAGTGAGTGGGACATCTTCTGTAAGAGGAAGTTATAACATCAGCGTCAACCATAAGATTGTGACAGCGATTACAGGGGAGTAGCCAGCGTGAGTCTGTTAAAGGCTACAACTGAATCACGTTGACACTTTGGGATTTCTGCATTTGTTGGTGTACAGAGTGTATAAAGATGAAAGGACATAACCCTGAGCTGATCCAGTGGAAGAGATCAACATATCAGACATGGTGCAATCAACCCTGACACACTGGGATCTGTCCATAGTGAACAAACATTAAAGTGCAGGTTAACTTGGTTTGTTGTAATCATTTCTCTCGTCTATACTGTCTGTGAAGAGATCCCTTCATAACACAACTGTAGGCTAATGTAAGTGGGGGACAAAATCCATAGTCCTTGCTCTCTGTAAAAATGACTTCTAAAGTTCAACCAAAGCTAATACGAAGCCCCAGCAGTCTGAGTTAGACAAATGAATCCAGTATATTTCAAAGTTATTTTAGGTAAAATTCCTCCTTTGTGTTAGTCTCCTCCTGCCACAGCTCAGAAATTCAACATCAGAAAACACAAAGGGGGCTTTTATGCTATAGCACATGGACTGTAACTTTGGAAAATATCATCTTGATCTTGACTCGGTTAACTGAGACTTTTGAAACCTCATTTTAGCTTCAGCTTTAAGATGAAATAACTGATATATTTGGCCACTTGCAGCCAGCAGAAACAACTTGTTAATGCAACAGTGTTTCAGCTGACATGGCAACATTGTAGCCAAAAACCACTATGGGAGCAGTGAGAATGAACCAAAAAAGTAAAGTTGTGGCCCAGCTTATCAATGTACTTCAAGTCGCTATAAAGCTGAGTAAAGCCGAGGCTGCTGCATGTTTGGGTGATGACTTTCACTTTGTTATTTGATATACTGGCATTATAAAAAATATAGATTGTAGCTGCTTAAATTTTAGATGCATTCTGGATTTTGACACAGAACGATGACCATGGATTTTGTCCTTCATCCTCTACATTGGAATGTCTTTAGGAAGGGATATCTTCATGGCCAGTTTGGACAGGAGGAGTGGTTATAGTGACCAAAACGCAGTCATTTATAGTCGTTTTGTGTCTCTTTGAAGATGTTTTGCATCTCTTATTATGCATTTGTTGTCTGTCTTTTCTTTTCTTTGTTTGTCTTTTTTTTTTTTACATCTCTGAGGATATTTTTGCATCAAATTAGTACCATTTAATGTTATTCACTGGAATTAAACTGCTGAAATTTCAATAAAAAACAGAAAAATTGGGGTGGTCTAAAACATTTGACTGAGCATGTATGTACAACAGTTTGGCTGTAAAGTGCAAATATATGCACGTGTTAGGGTAATCATTCCTTCACAGCTTGCCTTGTTGGCA